CAAAAAATCCGACGGGGGGCGGGGGGGGGGGGGGCAAGGTGCTCCCCCTGCCTACCCTCTGGATACCTTCGGTGTTTACACGGGAGAAATCAGAAGCCTCCCCTCCACTGAAATGAGAACCACTTCTTCAAATCCCAGACCTGATGATAGGTCAAGCATCATCGTGGCTTTCATGGATCACTTCATCATAGATTTCTAGCTTCTTAACCCAAAGAGAACAAACAGTTGTCATCCAGTGAGTCAATTCCCTACCATGCAGTACCAGTCCACATCTCATCTTGGGTACGAAATGGCACTGTGTTGGGCCCTCTATTCTTTTTGGTATATTGCTGATGGACCGAACTCGGATGTCGTTTGTTCACTGACAATTTTGTTATAACGTAAAATTACATCTACATCTGACTGCGATGTTATTCAGCAAGACCTGAAGGCACTAGAGGAGTGGGAGCAGCGCTGGCAGATTTAAACCAGAAAAATGCAATTTTCTCAGATTCACCAATAAGAAAAACATCATTCACTCCTCTGGTCAGAATCAGTTGAAAGTCAAGTACAAATTGGCGTTTATCTCTCATCGGACATGAAATGGAATACTCACATCAATGCAGTCACAGCTAAAGCTATATAACAACATGCTTTTCTAAGACACATCCTAGGTTCAGCCCCACCCAAGGTCAAACTCCAAGCCTATACCAAGGTTTAGTCTAGTCTGGTTCCCAGACCAAACGATTCTGACTATTCCTGATGAATCGTAGGGTCAGGTAGCCTCCGGTAATACATTGTATTACAAGTTACGTCACGTGACTAAAACGGGAGGAATTCCTCCTTTTTTCCGGAAATGTCCGAAATTTGCCGAGTTCATTTCGTCGACAATCGGATAGCGCCCGAGTATTTCCGAATAAAATATAGGTTTAATTAACTGCTTATTGCTTATTAAAAACTTTTTAAAATGAGTTGATAATTAATATTCATTGCATTCATTTAGAAAACTTGAAATTCAACGATGGTTTTGTGCATCAAGTATACTCGGATCGTATGGGCGAACTTTTGGCTGCGTCATGTACTATTTTGCATTTGACGACCGTTACTGAGATTTTCCAAAACTCGGTCTTTATTCGGCTTCGCCTGCTAACAGCGCTATTTGGGTGCCTAATTTTAAAGATTCCAGATCAACATTAGTTAATATTATCTTACAGAAATATCAAAATGTATTATCATAACTGTATGATATTACGAAGCTTGAGTGATTTATTTAAAAATTTGATCAGAAAATTAAAAGCTAAAAGTGATAAAGTGAAATCGGAAACGAAGCCGAGATTTGAAAAAGGGTCATCAAGGTCGTCATGTTTATTTTTAACCACGGAGGCTGCCTGACCTACAATTTAGACGTGAGCGTCTAGGAATAATTGTCAGGTCTGGGAACCAGACAGGTGACCGTCTTAGCCGATTTTTGGCTAACGTTGACTGAATTTTTGTAAAAAAAACGAGTTTGACAAAATTTGACAAAGGATTTTTTGGCAGATTTCTGACAGAATTCTGCAAAAGTGGCTATTTCAGTATTTGACAGAAGACAGCAAATTTGAACAAAAAAATGGAGCGTTTGTTTGAAAAAGCTTCAATCCTGTTTTAAACAAACCCTTGCATAATTGCACAGGTTGGCTAGTCTAGGTGCTGAGGTTACTGGGAATCGGACTTCGTTGTGGCCGGATCTGCGTTTTGCCCGAAATTTACGCGATAATTTCATAAGATCTTTATGTGACTATAGATTAATGTAGTTTATTTGAACCTTAATAAAGGCAATACTACCAATCTGCATGTGATTTTAAGTGTTTATAGTGTATTTCGAGTAATTCTGGGAAATGTGGCAGATTTTTGATAAATCTGACAGATTTTTGATGGGCACTGAGCAGAATTTGGCTCTGACCTTACAGTCACCCTGGAACCAGGCTAGGTTTAGTCCGCCCTCATCTTGACTACTGTGCATCGGTGTGGGATCATCCACAGCCACCAATACACAGAAGATTGAGATGGTTCATCGAATAGCTGCCCGCTTTATCACCAACATCTGTAGCTGGGACAATGCTACATCTGTTACTGCATACTCTTCTTGAAAAACTGGAACTACCCACCATGGAAAACAGTCATTTCCTGACATTCCAGTAAGATATTTCGTGATAATTTGATTATTTCGTTTTTTGATGTTTTCAAATGTTGTATCTTCTCTTTAAAAGGAATATAGGCTACAACATTTGCAAACATCGAAAAACAAAACTACCAAATTTTACGAAATACCTTCCTAGGATGTTGGTAAATGACAGTCCAAAGCATCCTGTAAAATTATGGTACCAGGTGTTAGGTCATTTTCAAGAAAATGGTATTTTTGTATAAATTTGGAACGGTGGTTGGCCGACCACCGTTGGAAAAACCTAACTATTTTTCAACTACTGCTCCAAATTTACCATTTTTCAGTCCAAATTTGGTTTGCTATTAGTTACATGTTCATGAACGGGTGCAGGCCAGCTAGACTGGTTCCCTTTCTTTACAATTTTCCGGCATCTATAAACTGATCCATTTCATACTTAATGGAGTCAGGGAACTAGACTACCTGAACATTTTTGTTTTTCTAGGTTTTTCCAGCATTTTCGAACACAAAACTTCAAACATGTCAGTGTAACAATATTTTGATCTATTACACTAACCACAGCAAAAGCCAATGTTATACATTCCCTTTAAAGCTAATACAGTAGGGCGGGCTCAGCAGTTCTAGCGCGGCTCCAGTCACTAGTACAACTACTGAGTTAATAAAAGTGTAAACTTAAACTTAAACAACCCAATTTGGAACAGCCAAATTTGGCTACAAAACGCGCTTTTAAAAGTAGATATAAGCATCCACACAACTAGCCTTTCCAGGGCCCCCAGGGAGAACAGTTCATTGACAACTGATGGGGCTACCCTGGTAAAATAACACGAAATAAATAAATAAATAAATAAATAAGGACACTGCGTCCTGGAACAGCCCAATTTGGCTACAAAACGCGCTTTTAAAAGTAGATATAAGCATCCACACAACTAGCCTTTACAAACTGGGCGGTTTTGTGTTATTCCTGTATTATGCGTGCGAGAACGACTTGCGGGGTCAGCTTTTAAATTTGCAACCCCAAAAAGTCGAGCTGTTTGGGTGCTAGTTGTGATTTCATCCGTAAAGTGTTCGTCTTTTGCGGACGTGTAAGAAACCATTATTTTGTTCATCGGTGGTTGGTCACCGCTGTTCACGAGCAGGGGCTACAAAGACACAACGTGGCATATCGTACATAATGAAAACGACAGGAAAACGTATGTGGCATTCGTACTCCCTCGTGTCCGGTGCAAACAACCGTTTTCCCCCCATCTTTTCTCGGGAACGGTAAGCTTTAGGTTGGTTTCCTTTCAACCAGATGTTTGAAATAGGATAAGTAAACAATCCACTGAACATGAAATTTTCTGGAGTTTCAGGATAGTGCCCCTTTAAAGCAATAAGAGCGGCAGTTTGTTAATATTCCGAAGTGCACAACGATAAAAACAAAAACCCACTGCTGTCTGGATGGCCATGCAAAAATTAATCCTCTATTTTATTTCACACAAACAGTACATGCAGTAACAGTGGCATCATAAATGAAAGGAAAAGCAGAAACATTATTACCTCCGCCAAGGAGGTTATGTTTTCATCGTGTTGGTTGGTTTGTTGGCTTGTTTGTGTGTTAAAAAACTAACTCAAAAAGTTATGGACGGATTTGCATAAACAATCAAGCTCCTTGGCACAAGAACAAACCGATTAGATTTTGGACAACATGGCGGGGAATTGTTTAGCCTTGGTGGAGGTTTGCGCTCTCCGAGTGCTTTCTAGTTAAAGACGAGTTCCCAGTGCACTTTCGAGTTTCACCTTGAAAAAATAGACTTGTGTCGTTTCCATTAGCTATGTCCTTAGATATATAACAATTGTTCACTTTGGGTGAGACATCGCACGAAAAAAAATCCGACCACGTTTCGTTATTGAACAGTTTCACAATTAGACAATTAGTTTGATTCTCGATTAAGAGGGTTGCAGACAACTGCAGAATAAGGTAGCTTTTTTCGTTAGGACGAAACATATAAATTGAAAATTCGTCAGGATGAAACATATTTGGAAGCTTAGAACACGCGGTATACATCGAAAATTAAGTGAGCAAATAAAGTTGAAACTCAATGAAATGAAGTAGGCAGAAGTTAACACAATACGGGGATACGCGTATTATAATGTAGGCGCTAATTGTACTTTTAAAAGTTTGCTGTAAGCAGTAGTGATATACATAATACTAATAGGCTACTACTACAGGCCCATGACATGAATTTTACTTGGGAACATATTTCGCGCACCTTGCTATTCCTCTTAAATGTATGAAAACTATTTGACATCCCTTTTTTGTTAAGTATACTCCTTTAAAAAAGTGCTCTTCTTTAAACATCGTTACATTTTCTATGCTTTGCCGGACAAATGAGCTAGGGCGCTGTTGCTGTGACGTCATTTCAGGAAGACACTGTTCAATGTTTTGGTTCAAACTGTGAAACCAATATTTGCTCATTGAAAAACAATTTGGAGAAAACTTTGCTCATTGGCTTACTGTCATTTACTGAAACTACAAATCATTAAAGAAAAGTATCCACAATTCTGGCAAATGTTGATGCTGAAATAGCTGTAATATTGAGGTTTCTGCCTGAATATGACATCACACTTTTGCTCATGAATATGCAGCATTAGCATGAAAATCAAAAAGGCACCAAAAATGCTCTTAAAATGGCATTTTGGTGCCTTTTTCTTTCTTATGCTGAAGCCCATTTCTACATTCATCAGCAAAAGTGTGATGTCATTTCAGGCAGAAACCTTAATGTTACAACTATTTCAACACCAAAATTTGCCAGATTTTTGGATATTTCGCTGTCGTAAATTGTCTTGTCTTCGATTCGTTGTTGTGTCAGTACTTGGCAGTAACTTAATGAGCAAAGTTATTTCACAAATCTTTTAAATAAGGCAAAGCATAATAATGTTTGGGTTGAAAATTTGAACAGAAAGGCGCTAAACTGAACGGAATCTTCCTGAAGTGACATCACATCAACAGCGCTCTCAGTTGTCTGCAAAACAAGGAATTTGTTGAAAAGGTTTTAAAGAAGTGTACTTTTCAATAACATGAACAAAAACGCATGTCAAATAAGTTTCATGTGTTCAAGAGGATCAGAGATATGTTCCTCCAAAAAGTTCACGTAAGAACCCTTTAAATAAAAACACACACTATTACTGTATGAATGTTGGCACTGTCACACGTGCCTCGTACTTTTGATGTACCTCATTGCTAGTCCCATATTTCCCCTCAAATATGATGAGTGTGATTCCTTTGGCCCATGAGGGTCAACATGGTGACAACCTGTATCAGAATAAACTAGTGCCTGTTGCAGTTCATGAAACTAAGCCTTCGTCTTTAAGGAGCACCCAATCTACCATGAGGTCTAAAAGGCTTCCGCTGGGTCCTGCTGTTCGACAGTGCCAGTGGATCTAGGGATCTCCTTTTTGTCCCTTCTGTCCTCTCGCCCCCAGTTGTCCTGGATCCCCCTTCATACCTTTGCGACCCCTATCTCCCGTAAAGCCAGATTCTCCAGGAAGACCATTGTCGCCTCTAGGACCTGCTGGCCCCCTGGCGCCCTGCAGACCAGCAGGCCCCGGCCGACCAATGGCGCCCCGTTCACCAGATAGTCCCCGAAAACCACGTTCACCCTTCGCTCCTGGATATCCACGGTCCCCTCTTGCCCCTTTCTCCCCGTCGGCAGGTCCGGGGGGTCCCGGTTCCCCTTTCTGTCCCAACCCATCACCTCTAGCACCCTTTGGCCCAGGTAAACCTCTGCGACCGGTTTCTCCTGGTACTCCTGATTCTCCTGGATAACCAACAAAACCAGGACTTCCTTTATATCCATCCAGCCCCGGAATTCCCCGATCTCCCTTAGCTCCAGGTGGTCCAGGTGGTCCCTCACCTTTCCCAGCCTCCCCCTCCGCTCCAGGTTCTCCTCTCTCGCCAGTCTTCCCATTCTGTCCACTCTCTCCCCTGGGACCTGCGATTCCTTGACCCGGAACCCCTGGGACTCCTGGGATCCCTGGTGGTCCAGGAGGACCTACGATCACGTGACAGCCGGTGTTACAGCTCTGTGGTTGGGGGCTGCATGGTTCCGGCGGTGGTATCCCCTGAGGAACCTCCGCCGCGTCTTCTGCTGCACCTCCGACATTTAGGAGCAGAGATGCCACGAAGAGCACAGGCAGTTGACTTTTCACCTGGAAATCAAACAGTTTCATTCAAAGAATCATCGTTTTGTAACCATCAAAATTTGGCCAGGATCTTTATCATTGGCGGCATAACAAGACCAAGACTTGATCTGAGACAAGTGACCCGAAATGTGCAGTTAAAGGGTTCCTGCGATCATTGCAATGATTGCTTTTGTTTCTTTTTAAGTAATTTTTGTGCAGCTTTCTACTCCTCTTAAAATGAAAACTACTAGACATCTCTTTTTGTTTGCTTTGCATTAAAAGTGCAGTTTTTAACAGTTAAAATGTACATGCTTTTCTTTATAATTGACGCCGCTGCAGTTGTTGTGATGTCATTACAGGAAGACACTGCTAGGTTTAGAGGTTTTCTGCACGTGTGCGTAGCCATTATTTTATCGTCCGTTGCAATGCCGTATGGCAAGATAACTTTAACCTATGAGGCGCCATCGTTTTATTTAGTTGCAATCTACCACAGTACTAAACATTTCAGTATGATGGTGCATGGGTGTTACGGTCTAACACAATCTCTTCAGTAGGCGTTTTGGTGAACATAATGCTTTCTCATAGTGTCTTAATAGATGGATAGAGGTCCTCTTTGCTCAAGAGAACAATTTAATGCCAGAAAAAGTGTATACATGCTCAAATAACTCTGTACTTGGTCAGTACCCGTTCGAAAAATGTTCGAGCTTAAGCTCCCTGGTGTTTGCCTGGCCACCCCCCCCCCCCCGCCACCAACACAACAGTCTGAGACTACCAGTATAAAAGGATGAGTGACGACCTGTTTCCAGGCTTCAAGAGTGGGCCTAGCGACAGGATGATTGATGGACTTGTGATATGAGCAGCTATACTTACAATACCATCACAAAAATAGTTTTCATGACTATACAAATCTATGGGAGTTGGCCTGGGTCTGATCTTTGCCTCAGACATTCTGGGTCGAAAGTTAAGTATAAACACCGCAATATTCTTCTGTGATAAATACCCCACTAAAAGCAGAAAAACAGTCACAACTCTCCCAGGTGTTTTGAGGCACACATCAAACTTATCATAGTATTTTGTCATTTTCTGTGTATTTTTTCTTCTTTTTTGGGGGGGGGGGGGGTACCACCGTAAAGTGGTCACCGCCATACTCGTTTTCAGGGTGATAGGTATCACCGACCTATTGGATACTAAGAGAAAAAAAATGATTGGATCGTCACAATGACAAAATTATTGTAGGTCAGGCAGCTGCCATCGGCACCAGGCTAAAAGTAATGGCCTTTTTCATGGAGAACTAGGGAGCATTTGCTCACTCGCCACTAGTGCAGCTCTGTTTACGTGGGAAGACTGGCTCATATCTAGGCGCTCTCAGCAAACTTTCGTTAATACGTGGAAAGTATGTTGGTTAAACTTACTTCCTCGCATCGCATCATAAAATATAGGTTTTCCTCTTTCAAATGCATATAATTTCTTCATGGTTAAAGGCGAATAATTATGTGCACTTTTTCATTGGAAAACGGGTAACTCAGTGAAAATTTCGCGTTTCCTATGGAGGTCATGGCACATTTCCCCGATTTTTGAAGGTGCGGGTTTACTTCTTGGAACAGCACACGTGTGAACCCGGTCGCATACAATTACCTCGCACGGTTTCTGAAAGACAACACAATAAGCTTTCCATTCATGTAACAACCGTTTTGATTGGTTGAGAAGAACAAGGGGCACTTTTCTTGTCAAATCAGACATCGCTTTTGTTTGAGGATCGACCTGCTGTTTATGTATACATTGTAGTCCGGTCAACGCAGTGGGGCTGTGCAGGTCGCCGGGTCAATACACCGTTGTGTGTGACCGCAGAGCATGCAGGGCTTTGATTTTCTGCACATATGGGTGGCAAAGTTCTCCATATGCTCTTGGTTCCGTTTCCAATTTGCTTCTACAAAAAAAACCCACTTGTTTCATCATGCACTTTGATATTTCTGAAAGAAAATATTGACTGATGTTGAGCTGGAATCTTCAAAGTTATAGGGACCCAAATAGCAGGCAAAGCCGAAATAGAGACGACGACGAGTTTTAAAATACCCGTAACCGTCGTCATATTCAAATAAATGTAGCACATTAATTTTGACATAAAACATAAAGCAAACAGCCAATCATTGTTGTTTTTGTACTCTACACGGCCCGTAGTCTGAGTATCACCGTAATCCACGGAGCCATGTCTTCTGTGTGAAGTCTGATATGTCTAGACATGCAGATAATTATATGCAAGCCGCACGCCAGCCAATACGGGCGATTCCCAATAGTGCGCCTCCAAGAGTTTGCAGCGCGTTGGCCAATCACAATGCGCGAAATCAGTCGACCTTTTCCAAACGGGCGTTGGGTCGACAGATTTTGCGCATTGTGATTGGCCAACGCGTTGCAAACTCTTGAAGGCGCACTATTGGGAATCGCCCGTATTGGAGTCGACTTTGCTAAATCAGGACTAAATGGCTTAGTTGGTCGATTCGAATGCAGTATTTTGTAATACAACAGGCGTGCACATATCGCGTAACATGATACAGAGCGCGTAACACAGGGTTTTTTTAATCCATTGTCTGTGACGCGCAACGGGTAAATGACCGAAGATCCGATAAGGAAAGCGCTTGCTGATTGATAAAAATCTAGGAGGTCAGGAGGCGGTTTTTCTGCCTAATTAATCAGCGAATCTGCTCACATTATCACAGACCACGGCATTTGCCATGGGTTATTACATGAGACTACGCGGCCAGGGGCTAGTGAAGCCGAACGCGCACGCAGCCCACACATGAAGTCCAGGCCATACTGGCGTAGCCGGGGGGGGGGGGGGGTATTTACCTCCCCCGATATTTTGTAAAGACAGCACTTTTCCATTCAAATGCCCCTTTTCACCAGCGCTTACTCCCCCCCATAATTTGTCAACAGTGCCCTTTTTTTAGGAACTTAGTGCCCTTTTTTTTTCTGACCAAGTGCCCTTTATCAAAAGAAGTGGTGCCCTTTTTTGCGCCATCGGCCGTTCCGGGTGCCTTTTTTTTCTTATCGCGCTGAAAAGCAACATATATTTACCGTTAGTGTGCATAATCGTTGGTTTTGAACAGCGCCCCAATCGACAGATGGCACCAGGCCCCCCCCCCCACCTTTAATTTTACGGAGGCCAAGTGTTCGGAGAAAAAAAATGTCTTCATTTCACCACGGATGTACAAGTGGCCATTTTAAGAAATTGTTAACCCCCACCCCAAATAAATGATCGTGCTACGCCACTGCAGGCTGTTCCAAGTATTAAAGTCTTCCCTAAAACTCTTTATTCCAAGAAAAAGACGTGGACTAGCTTCCTTAAACCACTAAGAACATCTTCATCCCTGAAAAATTCTTTAAAGAGCCATTTTCCCTTGAAATTACAGTTAACTAAATTTTCACGGTTTTTTTTAACATATTAAGTCTGATTAGGAGTCCGTGAAAACACCCTTAAGAAAGTCTTTGTTTACCCATGGAGATAGACCCAGTACCGTTATGTATAACCAATGATAATCCTCAGTGCCAAGGGTAATTAAAAAACCGTGAAAATACCCTTACAGGATTAGTCCTATATAAGCCCCGTGTAAATGTCCGTGAAACATCTCTTGAAGATTCTTTTCACGGAGAAATGGACTTTTAACGAAAATTTAAGGGATCAGATGTTTCCAGCGATATGCCTTAATAACCATCTACACAGTTAGTTACCCAAATCGTCGTGATCTTGAATTAATTTTCAGTATTATGTAGACCTGCGTTCATGGACTTGTCCAACTCATCACAAAAATTACTGTCACACTCCATCTGTTACTTCTAAAAATGTGTCTGGTGGTACTATTGGAATGTTTTCTCCATGCCGAGGTGAACCCAATAAGGGGTGTATTAGTAAAATGTTTCTCAAACTTTACGACGGCATTTGAACATTCCGTTTACAACAGTTAGTGGTTTAATTTCCTTCTCACAAACCTACATGCATTGTCCTAAGTACAAATGAGATGGGAGAAAAGAATAGATTAACGAGCTGCATGTTGAACATGCACCTGAACTCTTGTTCAATCCAGTAATTAACCCCTACTTCGAAAATGATATCAGTATTGATCTCATTGCGATGATTAATGTTGAGTGAGCTATGTCTGTAACCTCCAGTGGCGGACGAAGTGATGTTACTGTATTTTTTTTTATATTCATCCATGCTTCATCGTAAACAACCAAAAACAAGACTGTTCCTTTAATATGACAAACGCAACCCTTGCACAGGCGCAGTTGAGATATACCAGACCCAGAATCCTAGACCTGTCACATTAACGAGACAGAAACTAATAAATCTCGTCATTCAGAGATAAACAATTGTTGTTCAAGTTCAGAAGGTTGTAACGAGGGTAAACCTAGGAAAACAAGACGAGTACATCATCATTCCATTCGCGGTCTACATAACAGGCGTCTGTGAAAATTGTTTTCGTTTTTCTGAAAGAACACTTACTTTTTTGTCGGATCCGTGGACAGAACTTTAAAACGGTACTTGTCTGTTTGTGTTCAAAATTCAGTAACTTGAAAAAGACATGAGATATTTGAATGATAATAATACTGAAAGACAGTTTAATGAATGGGCTTTCATATCCTAGATTTTCAAAGTGCTACAGGCAAAACTTCATTCAAAAATTGGTCCTGCCATTTTGGGATGCGTTTTTACTCATCCTAGCTGTTAACGCGAATAATACACGGCGAATTTAAGTCAACTTTCGTGACACAAAACAAAACACACGGGACACTTTACATAAATATCGGTTCCCATAAAAAAATGTGTAAAAAAAAAAATCAAAAAAAAATAGAGCAAATATTCTTCGTGGCCATACAGTGGTGCAGCTGCTCAAGTATTATTCTTCCCTAATACTCGTTATACCATTGAAGGGTTACTTTGACCACAAACATCTATTCTTCAAGGAAACACGTGGACGTGCTTCCTAAAATGAAGTCCAACTATGCCTCATATTGAAACATCAAGACTTACCCAAATCATCGTGATCTTGATTTAATTCTCAGTATTATGTAGGCCAACGTTCATGAAAGTGTCCAGCTCGATCGCAAAACTTTCACACTCTATATCCGCCGTAGCACCTAAAGTTGGTTTGGAGGCTCCTATAATACTGACGTGACTGAGGTCAGCCATTCTAGATCTCCTCGGGTGAACCCAATAAGATTGGGGGGGGGGGGGGTAGTAAATGTTTCCCAAAGTTTACGCAACGGTTGAATATTCCATTCAATCCCAGACTTGCGGATTTAATTTCCTTCTTATCAGCCTATATGATATCCTAAGAAGAAAAACAATTGGAGGAAGGAACAATCAAACGAACTGACGAAACCTTCTATAACTAGCAAACCCCTTTTTGAAAAAAATAGTATATCTCAGTATTTAGCTCATTTCGATGATTTATGTTGAGCTTTGATCTTTGTTTGTCACCTTCAGCGGTGGACGAAGAAATGTTATTGAGGAGTATTTGTTTACTCCTCCATGATTGATCGTTCAGTTAAAAAAAGAAAAAAATCCTTCTCCACAAACGCAGCCCTTCCACAAGCGCAGTTTTGGTTGAAATTTACCAGACCTAGAGTCAAGTCCTGGATTTTGTCCCGTTGTATGTTTAACAGCCAAAAACCAATAAATCTCGTCATTCAAAGTAGTTGTTCAAGTTCAGAAGGTTAATTTTTGTAACGATACTAAACCTAGGAAAACAAGACGAGTACATCATTCGATCATTGGGGGCGCCCTATTCGGTTCGCGGACTTACCACAGATGTTTATGAGCCTGCAATTTGTGCTAATTTGATGAAAACTTGCCGGCAGCATTCTTGCACACTAATTCTCTTTTTCAAGCGCACCACAAGCAAAGGGTGAACTTTCAGGCCTATACAGGGTGGATCCAAAAAACCGAAACCCAGATATGATTGCTAAATGGAACAGAAGTAGGGCACATGTGAATCAAAGGGAGATATCCTCTGTTAGGGTTGAATCTCCTCTTTAAAATGACACCCTGATCATGTCCTTACATTTTGGTTGACTGAGCAGAGACCAGTTTTATGAAAGGGTCTAATTAGAGAATTGTGCCACTTTTCATGGTAAAAATCTCTTTTCCCCCACCTGCCTTGATTGGCAACCATAGCCTTTCACTCTGAGAGTGAGACAAATGACACCACAAACAACCACAATTGAAAAGTGGCGCAATTCTCTAAATTGTCATTTTAAAGAGGAGATTCAACCCTAACAGAGGATATCTCCCTTTGGTTCACATGTGCCCTACGTCTGTTCCAATCAGCAATAATATCTCGGTTTCGGTTTTTTTGATCCGCCCTGTACAGGGGCATCATAATACCCTTTTGGCATGAACACTTGGTGGTCGGTCGGTCGGTCAGTTGGTTTGTCTGTCTGCCTGTTTGTCTGTCTGCGCCTCAGTGTTATGGTGAGGTCACCCGACCACCATCTTAATTATGGGAATGTTTATACTGGAATGACTAGCATGGGTACTGCACCCGGCCCATGCGGCACAAGCGATGACTCACATTTCCTAACCAAGAGGGCGCACTGCCCAGCACCAGCTGCTATCAGAGTGACCGTTTTAGCGGATTTTCGGCTAACTTTGACATTAAAAAAAAAAAGTTTGACAGATTTTTTTTGGCAGATATCTGGCAGAATTCTGCAAACATTGTCATAATTTTATAAGACAGAAAATTGGGGAAAACATAGCAAATTGGGGAAAAAATGTACATTTGTTTTGAAAAAGCTTCAAATCTTTTCAAACAAACCCTTGCATTATGGGGCAGGTTGGCCGGCCTAGTTGCGCTCTGACGAGGTTAACCGAATCGACTTTGTCGTGATTCAACGTTTTGCCTGAAATTTACGCAGTTTCATATCTTCATGTGACTACAATGTATATTGTTTAGAATGTAATATGAACTATTAAGGCAATACTACAACATCTGCATGTTTTTTTTAAAATGTTTAAAATGCATTTTGAGTAATTCTGAGAAATTTGGCAGATTTTTTGATGAATCTGACAGATTTTTGAATTGCATTTAGCAGAATTTGGTCATTACCTTTCGGTCACCCTGTCCGTGGCTGCTGTACACTGCACTTGACCGCCGTGCACGATTGTACAGTAAAATTGTCACTATTTATCAGCTTTTCAAATCTTTGATTGATAATGCTAGCTGCCGTACTTCAACCTATTGCTCGTAGAGTCCAGACAAAGCAGGTAAAATAGTTTTATACTTAATAATAGTAGCTTGAGTAACTCCAGCTGACATGCTCCATGACTGATGAGTGAGTCCATCAGTTGTCCATATTCATTCACATGTAACGCTGGAGCAGTGGAGGCATAACCTGTTCATTAGTAGCAAGACTAAGAGACCCTAAAAAAAAATGGCCTCTCAAAAATTGTTCATTTTCACCTCTAATATCCCACCCCATATTTCATTTACATACCCCATACATTCAGCAGTCATTTATGAAGCCTATTGATCGACTTCATTGAAACAGACAACACAAAAAAATGTGAAAAATCTTGACGATTTTGGTGGCTTGTCCGTAAGAAAAATGCCAGTTCCAATGCCTGTCGTCCATTTTGTTTTGCTAATTATGTAAATGTATGCATCACGTGCATGACGTGATGACATCGAAAAAAATCTGCCGTACCACTTTCAGGTGCCGCAAGTGAGTTCAATTTTCGTCTGGTGTGTTGTTGCGGAAACAAGACAACGAGAATGCTCTAGTCCAGCAAGTACTCGTACTCGACATGTCAAAATTGTACTCAATCATCTAAGTACTCGTATTCGAATAGCAGTACTCGGGGAAAAATAGCTCGACTAATACTAGACATCATTTTATCCATACCTGTACTATCAGTTATGGTTGATTGGCTTGCAGAGAAATTGAAGTTTCCTGATTTTCCTCTTTGCACATATTCAACAGCTAGCTGTGAGTGGGTCTGTATATCGGTCTGACTAGGCCTGGGCCAGTTACGCACAAAACCATTTGCTGTATGGCCCTATTCGGAAGTACAAATACTTGTACTCGGAGGTTCAAGTACTCGTACTCGTATTCAGAAGTACAAGTACTCGTACTCAGAGGTATAATCGTGTATAAGTACTCGTACTCGGCAATCTAAGGTCTTGGCAGTACTCGTACTCGTACTTGGAATTACAATTACTCGTACTCGGAGGTACAAGTACTCGTACTCAGAAGTACAAGTACTCGTACTCGGAGGTATAATCGTATAAGTACTCGTACTCGGCAATCTAAGTTCTCGGCAGTACTCGTACGTTCGTACTTGGAAGTACAATTACTCGTACTCGGGGGTACAAGTACTCGTACTCGGAGGTACAAGTACTCATACTCATGTATAATCGTATAAGTACTTGTAATCGTAATATAAGTACTCGTACTCGGCAATCAAAGTTCTCGGCAGTACTCGTACTTGTACGTGGAAGTACAATTACTCGTACTCGGAGGTACAAGTACTCGTACTCGTACTCAGAAGTACTCGTATTCAGATGTATAATCGTATAAGTACTCGTAATCGGCAATCTAAGTTCTCGGCAGTACTCGTACGTTCGTACTTGGAAGTACAATTACTCGTACTCGGAGGTACAAGTACTCGTACTCATGTATACTAGTACTCGTAATCGTATATAAGTACTCGTACTCGGCAATCTAAGTTCTCGGCAGTACTCGTACTTGTACTTGGAAGTACAATTACTCGTACTCGGAGGTACAAGTACTCGTACTCGTACTCAGAAGTACAAGTACTCCTATTCAGATGTATAATCGTATAAGTACTCGTAATCGGCAATCTAAGTTCTCGGCAGTACTCAGAAAATAGTACTCGACTACAACAATGCTCCTCTGTTAGTGTTAGTCTTTAGTTGTACACAACCAGGATACCCATTCTTTCCTTGGAGGATGTCATTTACAACTTTCATGACCATTTGGATTTTGTTCTGAAATTTTTGGAGGAGAAAAAATACCTGGATGCCAAGAGACGCAAGGTTTTGTGTTCAATAATCACATCAATATTGATTCATTGATAATCCATTTGATTATGATGTACAGAAGAAGCCAATGAAAATGGTTGCAGAAGTTCCGTTCAGTATAGGAACTGATGAAGGTTATGTTTTTCTTCTTTATCAAAGCTCGTTTCCCTTTGCCGTTCGTCTTTGTCGACCATGGAGACAAACAAATACAAAGCAACCATCGTTAACATCTCACCTGTGTTACGTCTGCACAAATTCAAGGGTAGGTTTTTATCATTCATTTTTCAATTAACCTCTGCAATTAACTCCCTGTTGTTATTTTTGTCCCAATTTTGCGGTTTGCTGCTCCCCAAAATGTTACAAGTAAATACTATTTGACTATTGTCGTATTGGTTTGGGAACCCAATATCAGCTCAAAATTATGCCATCCCCCCCCCCCTCCAAAAATCTGTACTAAGCTGTTGATTGATCAGTTTGGATAGTCTTTTTATGTAATACAACCACCGGTTAAGAGACTTAGAATAAAACTCAACATTGGCTGTTTAAAAAATGCTGTATACATGTACGTGAATGGTCATCGTGGGCGTGACGTGAATGCGCCTGTTATTTAAAATGTTGATCATTTGAAGCTAGTCTGCAGGACGATCGTGCCTCGCGTTACATATTGTTCCAGGCTGCGTGACACGGCCTATTTTTGCAAATACAATTCACAACATAATAGCATTTAGTTGTGTCCAGGTTTTAGAGTGTTGATGTCCATGAGAATGGGTTACCGAAGACCCAATATAGAAGGCGCCCTCACAGGACGATCACGCCTCGCGTAACGTATCGTTACAGGCTGCGTGACGCAGCCTGTTTTTGCAAATAGAATTCACAACATAAAAAGCATAAGAAACTTTGTGTCCAGGTTTTACAATGTAAATGTCCATACTCCATAACAACTGAATACTGGAGACTCGATATAGAAGGGGCCCACCGAATAGTCAGATTGTGGAGGTCAAGATGCAGTCTGGTTTGCATAATTAATCGCTGAATCTGCTCACATATTTATAGACCCTTGCTGTGCAAGGGGATATTCCATAGACTAATGTTATCCTGTCTGTCAGGCCAATATTCATTCCTGGATCTTTTGGAATTTTACACTGCTCGTTTGCCCTATTCTAAACAAACCAAGGTTCAACAATGCTCATGATATGGTACCAGTCCGATAAGGCTGTGCATCGGAACCGGGTACCCGATTGTTTTTGTCAGGAACCGGTTCCAGATTATGGAATCAGGTACCTGCAACCAACTTTACTAATTACAAAGTAATTTCTCAGACAATGAAAAAGAAAGGTTGCAAATGTCATTTGTGGAGGATTTTAAAACTGAAAACCAGGCTACATGGGAAAACAAAACATATTTCACATTTATGATGCTTGAGAAAGTTGCAAGTTATACCGTAAAGCTGAAAAGCTAACTGTACACAGTTGTATCTTGCTGTACCGACGCACCGATTTGACATTATTATCGTGCGGACCTTTATGAACAGTCTGAACAGCAACTTCCCAGATTTGAATTTCAAGTTGGGTTTCTTTCACGGGTACCCGGATACCTGTGTTTTTTTCAACAGGGTACCCAGTTCCCGTACTACGGCGTACCCGTAAATTCATGTTTTCTTTATTTGCTGTGCAGAGGAGGAAAATGCCCCGGTCACACTCCTCATGCCTTGGGCCACAGCAACTGAGCGCGCCTTGGATCGCTTCCGCATGCTGTACGCCGAACGGGGATTTAATGTCTTGACCGCCTATGCCAAACCCATCAATTTCATCTGGCCTAGATCCTCCCAACCCGTCGCAGCTGAGATCGTTGAATTTCTCCGCACCAAGACCGGCAAGGCGCCAATCGTCGTCCACGCTTTCTCAATAGGGGCCTTCATGTACGCGAACGTGCTTACCTACATTTCCGAACACCCTGATGAGTTCTCTGCGTTAGAACCACGAATCCGTGGCCATGTTTTCGACAGTATTGTCTTTGGCACCCTGAAAGAATTACGAGTTGGAATGGGGTCATTGCTAACAAGAAGATGGATCTTACAACAGCTCATCGCAATGGGGACTAGCGTCTACTTTTACTTAACCTACAGCAACACGGTCACGATCTATGATCAGTTGATCGACATTTTCTGGAAGAACCCTTTCAAGACGTCGGTACTGTTTTACTATTCGCTCATCGATCCCATGTGCAAGAGGGATTCCATTGAGCGCTTCATTGCAAATTGGAAAGAGCAGACCAGCCAGCCTGCTCACTATCTTTCCACGCCCGATGCAAAACATGCCGAGATTTTTCGAGCAATACCAGATAAATATAAAGACACGTTGTTCAAGTATTTGGACACTCTGAAGCTGGAACAGCAATCAAGTCCAACACATTCTAAGCTCTAGGTACACTGTAGGGGCCAAGACATTGTTGAAGATAGGCAGTTACATTGTACCTACCACTGCGGGAGGACGTCATCACAAGGAACCGCTGTTATCCATGAACCGCCAGCAACAATGTCTTGAGAATCCTGAGGCATTTGTGCAATGCATGCGCACTTGGGCGTCGATTGGTGCTTTTAAACTCACTCACTCACTCACACACTCTGTCGACCCAAGTGGAAGCTTGAGTCGAGTGCGATGACGCACGTGCCACACATCACGACTGTTCATGCAGCTAGTGAGCTCGTCCGTCGTCTCAACCCCTGCGTCATCCATCATCAACCTCACTATTGTCTTGATTGGCCTCCCTTTCCCTGGTTGCCCATGCTTTGGCTCCCATAGGATCACCCGACTTGTTTGCAGTTCAGGGTGTCTGTAGCAAGGTGCTGTTTAAAGTGGGGGGTTGGTTCCCCACCCCCCTTTTTTGTCCCCCAATAAGAAATTGTACCCTACATTTTAATTCTATACAGCCATATGGTTGCAAAGGGCGATTTCTAACTTAGGTTACGTAACACTTTATGTCGAATGAAACTACATGTGCACAGACATGTTCACGTTGGCGGGTGAAATCTTTGAAAATTACTTTCTCCAGTTTGGAAGACTGTATCTTCATGCAACCTTCAGGATTTATTTCCCCTATAATGATCCAAGTATGTTTATTACTTTCGTTGAATTTGGAAAAATAGGCCTGGCTACTGGCATGTGCTATATCTATCAAAGTATCAATCTTTTCAAGCCTCAGGAATATTAATGAGGTTCCTATCCATTACGGTGTGCAGTAAACAATGGAATAAAAGCCTCTTTCACGAGTTGTAAGTCAACAACTATCACCCTTTTTGCCGGCTTCCATTGGTGGATACCGAGACCCACGCCATGTCACGCCGAATGACGCTAATGAATATGCTAATATGCCCGTCATCATTGTGTGCCGGGCCGAAATCAGTCAGCTGTAGCGCCTATGGTGCTTTGTTGAACAAATTACAATGCACATGGGTTGGGTCGGCAAAAAATTTTTTGATCGTCTTCGAAATTTTCCTTAGAGATGGTTCAAAGTGTAACACTAGCGTCTGCAACAACAGATTAAGATGGAATTTGGAATATACATATATGAAATAAGTGCTCAACTACTCGTGAAATAACAACTTGGGTAAATTCCTAGAAATTGGGATAAATACATACATTAGGGGAAGTTTCACACAATTTCTTCAAGACTTGAAGGTCAGCTTTGACAGTAACCAGTAATGACTTTTTGGCATCGATGACGGCATTTTTTTCACTGACATGAAGTTTAGAATTTCTTCTTCAGTTAGAATGTAACATTTCAATCATACCGAGCATATTTTCTGAGCAACACAACATTCAAAAGGCCAATAAACGTTGTGTCCAGGTTTTACAATGTAAATGTCCATACTCCATAACAACTGAATACTGGAGACTCGATATAGAAAGCGCCCACCGACTAGTCAGATTGTGGAGGTCAAGATGCAGTCTGGTTTGCATAATTAATCGCTGAATCTGCTCACATATTTATAGACCCTTGCTGTGCAAGGGGATATTCCATAGACTAACGTTATCCTGTCTGTCAGGCCAATATTCATTCCTGGATCTTTTGGAATTTTACACTGCTCGTTTGCCCTATTCCAAACAAACCAAGGTTCAACAATGCTCATGATATGGTACCAGTCCGATAGGGCTGTGCATCGGAACCGGGTACCCGACTGTTTTTGTCAGGAACCGGTTCCAGATTATGGAATCGGGTACCTGCAACCAACTTTACTAATAACAAAGTAATTTCTCAGACAATGAAAAAGAAAGGTTGCAAATGTCATTTGTGGAGGATTTTAAAACTGAAAACCAGGCTACATGTACATGGGAAAACAAAACATATTTTACATTTATGACGCTTGAGAAAGTTGCAAGTTACACTGTAAAGCTGTAAAGCTCACTGTACACTTGTATCTTGCTGTACCGACGCACCGATTTGACATTATTATCGTGCGGACCTTTATGAACAGTCTGAACAGCAACTTCCCAGATTTGAATTTCAAGTTGGGTTTCTTTCACGGGTACCCGGATACCTGTGTTTTTTTCAACAGGGTACCCAGTTCCCGTACTACGGCGTACCCGTAAATTCATGTTTTCTTTATTTGCTGTGCAGAGGAGGAAAATGCCCCGGTCACACTCCTCATGCCTTGGGCCACAGCAACTGAGCGCGCCTTGGATCGCTTCCGCATGCTGTACGCCGAACGGGGATTCAATGTCTTGACTGCCTACTCAAAACCCATCAATTTTATCTGGCCTAGATCTTCCCAACCCGTCGCAGCTGAGATCGTTGAATTTCTCCGCACCAAGACCGGCAAGGCGCCAATCGTCGTCCACGCTTTCTCAATAGGGGCCTTCATATACGCGAACGTGCTTACCTACATTTCCGAACACCCTGATGAGTTCTCTGCGTTAGAACCACGAATCCGTGGCCATGTTTTCGACAGTATTGTCTTTGGCACCCTGAAAGAATTACGAGTTGGAATGGGGTCATTGCTAACAAGAAGATGGATCTTACAACAGCTCATCGCAATGGGGACTAGCGTCTACTTTTACTTAACCTACAGCAACACGGTCACGATCTATGATCAGTTGATCGACATTTTCTGGAAGAACCCTTTCAAGACGTCAGTACTGTTTTACTATTCGCTCATCGATCCCATGTGCAAGAGGGATTCCATTGAGCGCTTCATTGCAAATTGGAAAGAGCAGACCAGCCAGCCTGCTCACTATCTTTCCACGCCCGATGCAAAACATGCCGAGATTTTTCGAGCAATACCAGATAAATATAAAGACACGTTGTTCAAGTATTTGGACACTCTGAAGCTGGAACAGCAATCAAGTCCAACACATTCTAAGCTCTAGGTACACTGTAGGGGCCAAGACATTGTTGAAGATAGGCAGTTACCTACCACTGCAGGAGGACGTCATCACAAGGAACCACTGTCATCCATGAACCGCCAGCAACAACGTCTTGAGAATTTTGAAGCATTTGTGCTATGCGTGCGCACTTGGGCGTCGATTGGTGCTTTTTAACTCACTCACTCACACACTCTGTCGACCCAAGCGGAAGCTTGAGTCGAGTGCGATGACGCACACGCCACACATCACGACTGTTCATGCAGCTAGCGAGCTCGTCCGTCGTCTCAACCCCTACGTCATCCATCATCAACCTCACTATTTTCTTGATTGGCCTCCCTTTCCCTGGTTGCCCATGCTTTGGCTCCCATAGGATCACCCGACTTGTTGGCAGTTCAGGGTGTCTGTAGCAAGGTGCTGTTTAAAGTGGGGGGTTGGTTTCCCCCCCCCCCTTTTTTGTCCCCAAATAAGAAATTGTAGCCTACATTTGATTCTATACAGCCATATGGTTGCAAAGGGCGATTTCTAAATTAGGTTACGTAACACTCTATGTCGAATGAAACTACATGTGCACAGACATGTTCACGTTGGCGGGTGAAATCTTTGAAAATTACTTTCTCCAGTTTGGAAGACTGTATCTTCATGCAACCTTCAGGATTTATTTCCCCTATAATGATCCAAGAATGCTTATTACTTTCGTTGAAATTGGAAAAATAGGCCTGGCTACTGGCATGTGCGATATCTATCAAAGTATCAATCTTTTCAAGCCTCAGGAATATTAATGAGGTTCCTATCCATTACGGTGTGCAGTAAACAATGGAATAAAAGCCTCTTTCACGAGTTGTAAGTCAACAACTATCACCCTTTTTGCCGGCTTCCATTGGTCGATACCGAGACCCAGGCCATGTCACGCCGAATGACGCTAATGAATATGCTAATATGCCCGTCATCATAGTGTGCCGGGCTGAAATCAGTCAGCTGTAGCGCCAATGGCGCTTTGTTGAACAAATTACAATGCACATGGGTTGGGTCGGCAAATAATTTTTTGATCGTCTTCGAAATTTTCCTTAGAGATGGTTCAAAGCGTAACACTAGCGTCCGCAACAACAGATTAAGATGGAATTTGGAATATACTTATATGAAATAAGTGCTCAACTACTCCTGAAATAACAACTTGGGTAAATTCCTAGAAATTGGGATAAAGTATACATTTGGGGAAGTTTCGCACAATTTCTTCCAGACTTGAAGGTCAGCTTTTGACAGTAACCAGTAATGACTTTTTGGCATCGATGACGGCATTTTTTTCACTGACATGAAGTTTAGAATTTCTTCTTCAGTTAGAATGTAACATTTCAATCATACCGAGCATATTTTCTGAGCAACACAACATTCAAAAGGCCAATAAACGTTGTGTCCAGGTTTTACAATGTAAATGTCCATACTTCATATCAACTGAATACTGGAGACTCGATATAGAAAGCGCCCACCGAATAGTCAGATTGTGGAGGTCAAGATGCAGTCTGGTTTGCATAATTAATCGCTGAATCTGCTCACATATTTATAGACCCTTGCTGTGCAAGGGGATATTCCATAGACTAATGTTATCCTGTCTGTCAGGCCAATATTCATTCCTGGATCTTTTGGAATTTTACACTGCTCGTTTGCCCTATTCCAAACAAATCAATTACCGTAGGTTCAACAATGCTCATGATATGGTACCAGTCCGATAGGGCTGTGCATCGGAACCGGGTACCCAACTGTTATTGTCAGGACCCGGTTCCAGATTATGGAATCGGGTACCTGCAACCAACTTTAATAATTACAAAGTAATTTCTCAGACAATAAAAAAGAAAGGTTTCAAATGTCACTTGTGGAGGATTTTAAAACTGAAAACCAGGCTACATGGGAAAACAAAACATATTTCACATTTATGACGTTTGAGAAAGTTGCAAGTTACACCGTAAAGCTGTAAAGCTCACTGTACACTTGTATCTTGCTGTACCAACGCAACCATGTGGAAGTATTATCGTGCGGACCTTTATGAACAGTCTGAACAGCAACTTCCGAGATTTGAATTTCAGGTTGGGTTTCTTTCACTGGTACCCGGATACCTGTGTTTTTTTCAACAGGGTACCCAGTTCCCGTACTACGGCGTACCCGTAAATTCACGTTTTCTTTATTTGCTGTGCAGATGAAGAAAATGCCCCGGTCACACTCCTCATGCCTTGGGCCACAGCATCTGAGCGCGCCTTGGATCGCTTCCGCATGCTGTACGCCGAACGGGGATTTAATGTCTTGACGGCCTATGCCAAACCCATCAATTTCATCTGGCCTAGATCCTCCCAACCCGTCGCCGCTGAGATCGTTGAATTTCTCCGCACCAAGACCGGCAAGGCACCAATCGTCGTCCACGCTTTCTCAATAGGGGCCTTCATGTACGCGAACGTGCTTACCTACATTTCCGAACACCCTGATGAGTTCTCTGCTTTAGAACCACGAATCCGTGGCCAAGTCTTTGACAGTATCGTCATCGGCACGCTGAAAGAATTACGAGTTGGAATGGGGGAAATGCTAACAAGAAGATGGATCTTACAACAGCTCATCGCAACGGGGACTAGCGTCTACTTTTACCTAACCTACGGCAACACGGTCGCAATCTATGATCAGTTGATCGACATTTTCTGGAAGAACCCTTTCAAGACGTCGGTTCTGTGTTACTATTCGCTCATCGATCCCATGTGCAAGAGGGATTCCATTGAGCGCTTCATCGCTAATTGGAAAGAGCAGACCAGCCAGCCAGCTCACTACCTTTCAACACCCGATGCAAAACATGCCGAGATTTTGCGAGCAATACCAGACCAATATAAAGACACGTTGTTCAAGTATTTGGACACTCTGAAGCTGGAACAGCAATCAAGTCCAACACATTCTAAGCTCTAGGTACACTGTAGGGGCCAAGACATTGTTGAAGATAGGCAGTTACAAGTATGTTTATTACTTTCATTGAAAATTGGAAAAATAGGCCTGGCTACTGGCATGTGCGATATCTATCAAAGTATCAATCTTTTCAAGCCTCAGGAATATTAATGAGGTTCCTATCCATTACGGTGAGCAGTAAACAATGGAATAAAAGCCTCTTTCACGAGTTGTAAGTCAACAACTATCACCCTTTTTGCCGGCTTCCATTGGTGGATACCGAGACCCACGCCATGTCACGCCGAATGATGCTAATGAATATGCTAATATGCCCGTCATCATTGTGTGCCGGGCCGAAATCAGTCAGCTGTAGCGCCTATGGTGCTTTGTTGAACAAATTACAATGCACATGGGTTGGGTCGGCAAATAATTTTTTGATCGTCTTCGAAATTTTCCTTAGAGATGGTTCAAAGTGTAACACTAGCGTCTGCAACAACAGATTAAGGTGGAATTTGGAATATACTTATATGAAATAAATGCTCAACTACTCGTGAAATAACAACTTGGGTAAATTCCTAGAAATTGGGATAAATACATACATTTGGGGAAGTTTCGCACAATTTCTTCCAGACTTGAAGGTCAGCTTTGACAGTAACCAGTAATGACTTTTTGGCATCGATGACGGCATTGTTGAAGATACATGTAGGCAGTTACATTGTACCTACCACTGCGGGAGGACGTCATCACAAGGAACCGCTGTTATCCATGAACCGCCAGCAACAACGTCTTGAGAATTCTGAAGCATTTGTGCAATGCGTGCGCACTTGGGCGTCGATTGGTGCTTTTTAACTCACTCACTCACACACTCTGTCGACCCAAGCGGAAGCTTGAGTCAAGTGCGATGATGCACAAAGCCACACATCACGACTGTTCATGCAGCTAGCGAGCTCTTCCGTCATCTCAACCCCTGCATCATCCATCATCAACCTCACTATTGTCTTGATTGGCCTCCCTTTCCCTGGTTGCCCATGCTTAGGCTCCCATAGGATCACCCGACTTGTTGGCAGTTCAGGGTGTCTGTAGCAAGGTGCTGTTTAAAGTGGGGGGTTGGTTCCCCCCCCCCTTTTTTGTCCCCAATGCTAACAAGAAGATGGATCTTACAACAGCTCATCGCAACGGGGACTAGCGTCTACTTTTACCTAACCTACGGCAACACGGTCGCGATCTATGATCAGTTGATCGACATGTTCTGGAAGAACCCTTTCAAGACGTCAGTTCTGTGTTACTATTCGCTCATCGATCCCATGTGCAAGAGGGATTCCATTGAGCGCTTCATCGCAAATTGGAAAGAGCAGACCAGCCAGCCTGCTCACTATCTTTCCACACCCGATGCAAAACATGCCGAGATTTTTCGAGCAATACCAGATAAATATAAAGACACGTTGTTCAAGTATTTGGACACTCTGAAGCTGGAACAGCAATCAAGTCCAACACATTCTAAGCTCTAGGTACACTGTAGGGGCCAAGACATTGTTGAAGATAGGCAGTTACATTGTACCTACCACTGCGGGAGGACGTCATCACAAGGAACCGCTGTTATCCATGAACTGCCAGCAACAATGTCTTGAGAATCCTGAGGCATTTGTGCAATGCATGCGCACTTGGGCGTCGATTGGTGCTTTTAAACTCACTCACACACTCTGTCGACCCAAGTGGAAGCTTGAGTCGAGTGCGTTGACGCACATGCCACACATCACGACTGTTCATGCAGCTAGTGAGCTCGTCCGTCGTCTCAACCCCTGCGTCATCCATCATCAACCTCACTATTGTCTTGATTGGCCTCCCTTTCCCTGGTTGCCCATGCTTTGGCTCCCATAGGATCACCCGACTTGTTTGCAGTTCAGGGTGTCTGTAGCAAGGTGCTGTTTAAAGTGGGGGGTTGGTTCCCCACCCCCCTTTTTTGTCCCCCAATAAGAAATTGTACCCTACATTTGATTCTATACAGCCATATGGTTGCAAAGGGCGATTTCTAACTTAGGTTACGTAACACTTTATGTCGAATGAAACTACATGTGCACAGACATGTTCACGTTGGCGGGTGAAATCTTTGAAAATTACTTTCTCCAGTTTGGAAGACTGTATCTTCATGCAACCTTCAGGATTTATTTCCCCTATAATGATCCAAGTATGTTTATTACTTTCGTTGAATTTGGAAAAATAGGCCTGGCTACTGGCATGTGCTATATCTATCAAAGTATCAATCTTTTCAAGCCTCAGGAATATTAATGAGGTTCCTATCCATTACGGTGTGCAGTAAACAATGGAATAAAAGCCTCTTTCACGAGTTGTAAGTCAACAACTATCACCCTTTTTGCCAGCTTCCATTGGTGGATACCGAGACCCACGCCGAATGACGCTAATGAATATGCTAATATGCCCGTCATCATTGTGTGCCGGGCCGAAATTAGTCAGCTGTAGCGCCTATGGTGCTTTGTTGAACAAATTACAATGCACATGGGTTGGGTCGGCAAATAATTTTTTGATCGTCTTCGAAATTTTCCTTAGAGATGGTTCAAAGTGTAACACTAGCGTCTGCAACAACAGATTAACATGAAATTTGGAATATACATATATGAAATAAGTGCTCAACTACTCGTGAAATAACAACTTGGGTAAATTCCTAGAAATTGGGATAAATACATACATTTGGGGAAGTTTCGCACAATTTCTTCCAGACTTGAAGGTCAGCTTTGACAGTAACCAGTAATGACTTTTTGGCATCGATGACGGCATTTTTTTCACTGACATGAAGTTTAGAATTTCTTCTTCAGTTAGAATGTAACGTTTCAATCATACCGAGCATATTTTCTGAGCAACACAACATTCAAAAGGCCAATAAACGTTGTGTCCAGGTTTTACAATGTAAATGTCCATACTCCATAACAACTGAATACTGGAGACTCGATATAGAAAGCGCCCACCGACTAGTCAGATTGTGGAGGTCAAGATGCAGTCTGGTTTGCATAATTAATCGCTGAATCTGCTCACATATGTAAAGACCCTTGCTGTGCAAGGGGATATTCCATAGACTAATGTTATCCTGTCTGTCAGGCCAATATTCATTCCTGGATCTGTTGGAATTTTACACTGCTCGTTTGCCCTATTCCAAACAAACCAAGGTTCAACAATGCTCATGATATGGTACCAGTCCGATAGGGCTGTGCATCAGAACCGGGTACCCGACTGTTTTTGTCAGGAACCGGTTCCAGATTATGGAATCGGGTACCTGCAACCAACTTTACTAATTACAAAGTAATTTCTCAGACAATGAAAAAGAAAGGTTGCAAATGTCACTTGTGGAGGATTTTAAAACTGAAAACCAGGCTACATGGGAAAACAAAACATATTTCACATTTATGACGCTTGAGAAAGTTGCAAGTTACATCGTAAAGCTGAAAAGCTACCGGTAACAGTACACACTTGTATCTTGCTGTACCGACGCACCGATGTGGCAGTATTATCGTGCGGACCTTTATGAACAGTCTGAACAGCAACTTCCCAGATTTGAATTTCAGGTTGGGTTTCTTTCACGGGTACCCTGATACCTGTGTTTTTTTCAACAGGGTACCCAGTTCCCGTACTACGGCGTACCCGTAAATTCACGTTTTCTTTATTTGCTGTGCAGATGAGGAAAATGCCCCGGTCACACTCCTCATGCCTTGGGCCACAGCATCTGAGCGCGCCTTGGATCGCTTCCGCATGCTGTACGCCGAACGGGGATTTAATGTCTTGACCGCCTATGCCAAACCCATCAATTTCATCTGGCCTAGATCCTCCCAACCCGTCGCCGCTGAGATCGTTGAATTTCTCCGCACCAAGACCGGCAAGGCGCCAATCGTCGTCCACGCTTTCTCAATAGGGGCCTTCATGTACGCGAACGTGCTTACCTACATTTCCGAACACCCTGATGAGTTCTCTGCGTTAGAACCACGAATCCGTGGCCATGTTTTCGACAGTATTGTCTTTGGCACCCTGAAAGAATTACGAGTTGGAATGGGGTCATTGCTAACAAGAAGATGGATCTTACAACAGCTCATCGCAATGGGGACTAGCGTCTACTTTTACTTAACCTACAGCAACACGGTCACGATCTATGATCAGTTGATCGACATTTTCTGGAAGAACCCTTTCAAGACGTCGGTACTGTTTTACTATTCGCTCATCGATCCCATGTGCAAGAGGGATTCCATTGAGCGCTTCATTGCAAATTGGAAAGAGCAGACCAGCCAGCCTGCTCACTATCTTTCCACGCCCGATGCAAAACATGCCGAGATTTTTCGAGCAATACCAGATAAATATAAAGACACGTTGTTCAAGTATTTGGACACTCTGAAGCTGGAACAGCAATCAAGTCCAACACATTCTAAGCTCTAGGTACACTGTAGGGGCCAAGACATTGTTGAAGATAGGCAGTTACATTGTACCTACCACTGCGGGAGGACGTCATCACAAGGAACCGCTGTTATCCATGAACCGCCAGCAACAATGTCTTGAGAATCCTGAGGCATTTGTGCAATGCATGCGCACTTGGGCGTCGATTGGTGCTTTTAAACTCACTCACTCACTCACACACTCTGTCGACCCAAGTGGAAGCTTGAGTCGAGTGCGATGACGCACATGCCACACATCACGACTGTTCATGCAGCTAGTGAGCTCGTCCGTCGTCTCAACCCCTGCGTCATCCATCATCAACCTCACTATTGTCTTGATTGGCCTCCCTTTCCCTGGTTGCCCATGCTTTGGCTCCCATAGGATCACCCGACTTGTTTGCAGTTCAGGGTGTCTGTAGCAAGGTGCTGTTTAAAGTGGGGGGTTGGTTCCCCACCCCCCTTTTTTGTCCCCCAATAAGAAATTGTACCCTTCATTTGATTCTATACAGCCATATGGTTGCAAAGGGCGATTTCTAACTTAGGTTACGTAACACTTTATGTCGAATGAAACTACATGTGCACAGACATGTTCACGTTGGCGGGTGAAATCTTTGAAAATTACTTTCTCCAGTTTGGAAGACTGTATCTTCATGCAACGTTCAGGATTTATTTCCCCTATAATGATCCAAGTATGTTTATTACTTTCGTTGAAATTGGAAAAATAGGCCTGGCTACTGGCATGTGTGATATCTATCAAAGTATCAATCTTTTCAAGCCTCAGGAATATTAATGAGGTTCCTATCCATTACGGTGTGCAGTAAACAATGGAATAAAAGCCTCTTTCACGAGTTGTAAGTCAACAACTATCACCCTTTTTGCCGGCTTCCATTGGTCGATACCGAGACCCACGCCATGTCACGCCGAATGACGCTAATGAATATGCTAATATGCCCGTCATCATTGTGTGCCGGGCCGAAATCAGTCAGCTGTAGCGCCTATGGCGCTTTGTTGAACAAATTACAATGCACATGGGTTGGGTCGGCAAATAATTTTTTGATCGTCTTCGAAATTTTCCTTGGAGATGGTTCAAAGTGTAACACTAGCGTCTGCAACAACAGATTAAGATGGAATTTGGAATATACTTATATGAAATAAGTGCTCAACTACTCGTGAAATAACAACTTGGGTAAATTTCTAGAAATTGGGATAAATAGGGCCTACATACATTTGGGGAAGTTTCGCACAATTTCTTCCAGACTTGAAGGTCATTGAAGGTCAGCTTTGACAGTAACCAGTAATGACTTTTTGGCATTGATGACGGCATTTTTTTCACTGACATGAAGTTTAGAATTTCTTCTTCAGTAAGAATGTAACATTTCAATCATACCGAGCATATTTTCTGAGCAACACAACATTCAATAGGCCAATAAACGTTGTGTCCAGGTTTTACAATGTAAATGTCCATACTCCATAACAACTGAATACTGGAGACTCGATAAAGAAAGCGCCCTCCGAATAGTCAGATTGTGGAGGTCAAGATGCAGTCTGGTTTGCATAATTAATCACTGAATCTGCTCACATATTAATAGACACTTGCTGTGAAAGGGGATATTCCATAGACTAATGTTATCCTGTCTGTCAGGCCAATATTCATTCCTAGATCTTTTGGAATTTTACACTGCTCGTTTGCCCTATTCCAAACAAACCAATTACCGTAGGTTCAACAATGCTCATGATATGGTACCAGTCCGATAGGGCTGTGCATCGGAACCGGGTACCCGACTGTTTTTGTCAGGAACCGGTTCCAGATTATGGAATCAGGTACCTGCAACCAACTTTACTAATTACAAAGTAATTTCTCAGACAATGAAAAGAAAGGTTCAAATTTCATTTGTGGAGGATTTTAAAACTGAAAACCAGGCTACATGTACATGGGAAAACAAAACATATTTCACATTTATGACGCTTGAGAAAGTTGCAAGTTACACCGTAAAGCTGAAAAGCTAACTGTACACACTTGTATCTTGCTGTACCGACACACCGATTTGACAGTATTATCGTGCGGGCCTTTATGAACAGTCTGAACAGCAACTTCCCAGATTTGAATTTCAAGTTGGGTTTCTTACACGGGTACCCGGATACCTGTGTTTTTTTCAACAGGGTACCCAGTTCCCGTACTACGGCGTACCCGTAAATTCATGTTTTCTTTATTTGCTGTGCAGAGGAGGAAAATGCCCCGGTCACACTCCTCATGCCTTGGGCCACAGCAACTGAGCGCGCCTTGGATCGCTTCCGCATGCTGTACGCCGAACGGGGATTTAATGTCTTGACCGCCTATGCCAAACCCATCAATTTCATCTGGCCTAGATCCTCCCAACCCGTCGCCGCTGAGATCGTTGAATTTCTCCGCACCAAGACCGGCAAGGCGCCAATCGTCGTCCACGCTTTCTCAATAGGGGCCTTCATGTACGCGAACGTGCTTACCTACGTTTCCGAACACCCTGATGAGTTCTCTGCGTTAGAACCACGAATCCGTGGCCAAGTCTTTGACAGTATCGTCATCGGCACGCTGAAAGAATTACGAGTTGGAATGGGGGAAATGCTAACAAGAAGATGGATCTTACAACAGCTCATCGCAACGGGGACTAGCATCTACTTTTACCTAACCTACGGCAACACGGTCGCGATCTATGATCAGTTGATCGACATTTTCTGGAAGAACCCTTTCAAGACGTCGGTACTGTTTTACTATTCGCTCATCGATCCCATGTGCAAGAGGGATTCCATTGAGCGCTTCATCGCAAATTGGAAAGAGCAGACCAGCCAGCCTGCTCACTATCTTTCCACACCCGATGCAAAACATGCCGAGATTTTGCGAGCAATACCAGACCAATATAAAGACACGTTGTTCAAGTATTTGGACACTCTGAAGCTGGAACAGCAATCAAGTCCAACACATTCTAAGCTCTAGGTACACTGTAGGGGCCAAGACATTGTTGAAGATAGGCAGTTACATTGTACCTACCACTGCGGGAGGACGTCATCACAAGGAACCGCTGTTATCCATGAACCGCCAGCAACAATGTCTTGAGAATCCTGAGGCATTTGTGCAATGCGTGCGCACTTGGGCGTCGATTGGTGCTTTTTAACTCACTCACTCACACACTCTGTCGACCCAAGCGGAAGCTTGAGTCAAGTGCGATGATGCACAAAGCCACACATCACGACTGTTCATGCAGCTAGCGAGCTCGTCCGTCATCTCAACCCCTGCATCATCCATCATCAACCTCACTATTGTCTTGATTGGCCTCCCTTTCCCTGGTTGCCAATGCTTTGGCTCCCATAGGATTACCCTACCTGTTGGCAGTTCAGGGTGTCTGTAGCAAGGTGCTGTTTAAAGTGGGGGGTTTGTTTCCCTCCCCCCTCCTTTTTTGTCCCCACATAAGACATTGTAGCCTACATTTGATTCCAAAGCTGGGCAGTTCCACGCAGAACTGGACAAGGCTGAAAAGTGGAAACTAGAAACTGTATGAAATTGCTCAAAAAGAATTTTGTTCAAGTGGTCAGAAATGCCTCAGATCGCACCACAAAGCGTCTAGAATCCAAACTTTTCTTAGGTTCCTTGAGCGGGCCCCGAACTCCACGCCACCCCCGAACCCCACGCCACCCCATGCCATAGGGGCTTCACGCTAGCATTACTTCTGATCAGGGTATTCCCTCCCCCCCCCCCCCACACTTTTGAAAAACGATTAACGCCCTTGCGCACATACGCTTTACCTAATAACTTAGGCACATGCAGTGCGCTTTCAAAACCTTTCATATTACTTCCGAACCAAACTCTTAAATTTCTTCCAGTAACATACAAGATGCAGCAAGACATTTGTGCAACTTCACAGTAGCTTGTCTGTGGTACATGTATATAGTATGCACAAGTAGCGCATGCGCACTAGTTTCCCCATATTTTACAAGATTCCCAAGACGACGTCGCTGGCGGTTTGTGAATGATAGCCGTTTCTCATGATAACGCCCTCTTGTGGCGGGTTATAGCGGTGGCGGGTTATCGTGGTGGTGGGTTATTGCGTATCTTACAAAAAAGTTTACCGGACTAAACTCTCGGTTGTCTTCATATTATTTTGTCTTCGGAAATATAAACAAAAAGGCATTGGGCAATTTGAAGTATTTTTTTTTCAGGTAAACCTCATTTACTGAAATATTGTGGGTTCTATTTATAGTAAAATTTGGTATTTAAAGATTTTTTGTTTGAGCGTATTGGGCTCAAAATATTAGACGAGGCTGAAAAACGAGTTTCACACGTCCACTAGGGCCTTATAGATCAAAATTTATTGAGATTGAAACTATTTTGTTCATAATATATTAATGAAAAGAAATTAATTCAATTATTTAAAAACCAACACGATCACCCAACTCAAAAAGTTAAAACACTGAAATAAAATGTAAATACTGGAAAAGTGGGTTTTGATTCTTTGTTTAAATTGTTCCTAATTTTTGGTGTGTATTTTCAATTTTTGCCAATTTTACTGTTAATATTGTACTGTAGCTGCATTGAATAAATTCTTGATATACTTTGTCGCACAAGTTTATTTCCACTGGCCAACACTGTACAGATAACTCACTCAGGGAAAAAAAAATCTCATTTAAGTCAATGAAATAAAAAAATTAATGTACCTAAAATAAGATTTTTGTCTTGTTTATGGCAGTCTGTAATCTAGTTATACTAGTATTGTTTCCATTTGTAAAATACAGACCCTTTCCCCTTGTAAGTGCGCCCTCAATGAGGCAGTCCTATTTATCTTCAGTGACAATGAAAGTACATAGTGTATACTCATGCGTACAAAATGTATAAAAAAGGAACAAAGGCCTGCCCTCAGATGTGACGTCATATGCAATTGGGCTATACGTTCTTTTGGCGCATCGAAAAAGTTACTTCACACTTCTTACATTCCTTCCTCGATGCCTCTTCGTAGTCCCTCCCCTCCTACTGCGACCAAGTATGTCACGAGAGGGCGGGCTTTATAAACGCGAAACTGTCTGGTTGCACCCCCGTAAGTGAGAAATCCTTATACTTCAAATTCTTTTTTAAATACTTGGAACTCTTTTACATGTTCAGGCTGCACAGAGAAATGATGATCAACACGTCATCTTTCATTTTCTTTTCAAATTTGGGAGAAATTGTAAGTGCCCCTTTTTGGTAATGCCTCCCCCTTCCCCAGTTTGAAAAGCGTTCCACCGCCGCTGCTTCTGTCAAGCATTCCTCGGAGGCCTGCAAGTTTGAACTTGAACTTTCGGAAGCTAATTAAAATGGCCTGATATTTCAGCCTTAGCAAGGTCTTCTTCGGAGGTAAATGATAGAGGAACAAGAAACAAACATGCAGGGGACAGCCAAACATGCAGGGTTGGAAGGACAAACACAAGGGGGCAGGCGAGACTTCAAACTAACAAGAACGTGTATTTAGAGTTTTGGGCGATTTCTTTGAAGGGGTTCGACAAAACGAAAAAAAGACGAGCATCAAGTTAGTACTTTTATTTTAATTAATTATCTTAATCACGGTTACATTAACTAGCGTCCTTATTTGTACGAGGGGCCCTTTTAGTTAATAAGCAGTACTGTTTGGAAGCGTGAATAAATTGAATTTACAAGCAGGGTGACCGTAAGGTCAGAGCCGAATTCTGCTAAATGTACATCAAAAATCTGTCAGATTTATCAAAAATCTGCCAAATTCCCCAGAATTACTCGAAATACACTATAAACACTTAAAATCACATGCAGATTGGTAGTATTGCCTTAATTAAGATTCAAATTACATAATAAATAATCTAGTCACACAAAGATGTTGTGGAATTATTGGTAAATTTCAGGCAAAACGCGGAGTCGGCCCACGACCGAGTCCGTTTCCCAGTCACTGTGAACCTCAGCACCTTGACCAGCCAACCTGTCCCATTATGCAAGGGTTTGTTTGAAAGGATTGAAGCTTTTTTTTAAAGAAATGTACACTTTTTTGTTCAAATTTGCTGTTTTTCTGTCAAATAACCATTTTTGCAGAATTCTGCCAGAAATCTGCCAAAAAATCCATTCTGTCAAATTTTCTGTCAAACTCGTTTTTTAACAAAAAATTCTGTCAAAGTTAGCCGAAAATCGGCTAAAACGGTCACCCTGCTTACAAGCCAAGCTTCACGCTATGACTAGCACCATGGAGCTATAGCACCAACTAAAACGAGAATTACTTGCGAAAGAAAAATCGTTATGCGGCATAGACGCGCGGTTGTTGACTAAAATTTGATTGTGGGACTATGGTGGGGGCCGAATTTTGAGGATGCGATTTCTAAAGAGAACCAACTGTCTAAAACAAAATGCATTGCACTGTTACGAGTGTTAAAATGCCACAGCATTTCTCAGAATTATCGTCCAATAATATATAATCCTATAGTGTTAGCGCCATCCTTCTGCATGTCTTCCTAAGCGGAATTATTGTTTACGATTTTTTTTTAAGATGCGTTAGAGACGAAATATTCACACACCAACACTGAACATTTCGTCTCTAATCTTCCAACAAAAAATTCTTAAAAAATAATTTCAAATTTGGTTGGTTATTTTTTTTTTACCAAGTTTCCTTTCCTGAACCTCAAAGAACGTGAAAAGTATGGAATAGAGGAAAGGGGAAAGAAACAGAACTTGAAATTATTTTTTGTTCGAAGATTGCGTTAGAAACAAAATGTTCACACTCAACTTGCACGTACACAAAAGTGCACTTTTTCCCGATATCATTTGTCATAAATTGCATTATTCTGTACACATTAATAATGACTGTTTTGGCCCAAATATGGCTGGATTGCTAAGGAATTTCTGTACTGATTAGATGCTCAGTTGTTTTTGAGTTACAATTGGGTTTTTTTTTTGGATGAGTGTATAGTGGCGTTCCCTAACGTGGCGCACTTCGACATTTATCCCGACTTTCCACATCAGTGTTGCCAAACTTCTTTGTTGACAACTTCAAATTCATTCAGTGAAATACTGGTATACATTTACCTTATTAATGCTTGCTAATTAATCTCTGTGAACAATTTCGGTTTCATGACATTTAATCCGAAATTCAACAACGGTGGTGTCCGGAAATTGGGCACAAATCGGCTGAGTGTTCCCCAGCGTGGCGCACTTGAATAAATCTCAGAAAATTCCAAATTAACATTTAAGAATTTCTGCAAAGTTCATAAATTCTGATAAACAAATATTATCTCCACTTACATACCCAACTAGAAGTTTATCGGCAAATTATTTTCTATTTTTGGGGGGACATTTCCAAAGGGTTCACTGTGCACTTCGAAATAAAATCGGAAAATCACGCCGAAATAAATTTTTCTTCTAAATTTGTAACGGGAAAATAAACTCGTGATTTATGAACGGAAGGGTTTAGAACTTGATGAAATTTCACTTTCTGTGAAATTTCAGTTAAAACTTTTGCTCTAGCTAGGCGCTACAGGCGAAAATCAAAGTGCGCCACGTTGGGGGCCGCGCCACGTTAGGGTACATCAATAATATATCCCAATTTAAAGTCTAAGACACATTTATGTGAAAGTATCACAAGATTAGTGTAAATCTGGCAAGCGATTGTATTATGCAATAGCAATCTGCTGCTACTGCGTCGCCGACTGTCTGCGATCGAGTTCACATCTATTTTCGGTAAAGTCTGCGACTATTGTCCACGCCTCGTCTGGAACCCTAACTTCAGTGACGGTGTCACGATAACATGGAACTCAAGGGCCTGTTTGCATTGAGTTTGCGATGTCTCGCTGATGCGAAATACGACTAAACAGAAAAGCGGAATAGTTTTTAAGTGAAGATCGCAGATTCAATGCAAAATCAGTTTCCATCTTTCCCACTCTTAGCAGGGTGCACCAGAAGAGCATTGAACGTCGTAGTAGGCGACTTGGGATGGCTTCTGATCCCCATGTTAGGCCCGTCGTCAAGACGCACCCAGATCTTCTCCCCAGCCGCGAGATCCAGCAAGGTGCTCTGCGAGGACGTGCCCGCGTTGCCGTCGTTTTTATCGGCGAAGATGCTCACCGAGGGCTCGGTGCCTCGCATCAGGTGGACCGAGGCCGCGTACTCCAGGTCCGGCCTTACTGCAAAGCTGAACATGTAGGTCCCCGCTTTGGGGCAGACAAAGTGGAAGTTCTCGGGATCCCATGCGTTGCTGGGGTAGCGGGTCAGGACCCGATCGAACGGGATGGGTTGGGCTTCATCGGTTCCCTTCAAAACCCCGGTGTAAACCATGGAAACGTAGACCGGCTCTGGTGGGGAAAAAAAATAAATAGAGCTAGTGATGACGGCAGGTGCGGAAATCTTGAGTATGCGAGTGCGTGGTTGTGAGTTTGTTTCTGCAGGAGACTTTGAACAATAGAGGACAATAGGGTCCCCAATTCTCGAAGGTCCCCAATTTGGCAATCATGTACAAAACATATGGGAGGCCTTCCCGAGTTAGTACAAGCAAATGAGGGACAATATATAGGGGGTCCCCGATTGCAGGCAAATACACACTTGTTTGAGTGTGTTTCGCACAGTTTTTTCTTCAAAAGTCAAAGTTTCAATGACAGTTACACTGCAAAAGATACATGCACCAAACATGAACATTATAATTCAGTTGGGTTCTTTTAACGTCCGGAGGGTATAAATTAATAATGGGGTTTTGAGAATTTGTTTCGACTGTGAAAATAAACACACGCAGAGCCATTTGTTAATTGTTTTGCTTTGGGAATTCGATGCCACACACCATATGGCTTCCATGGACACGAGGGTCCAATATCAGTAATTCGATCGTGATTGCAATTAAAGCGTTGCCATGGGTACACAGCTCGCACATTATTGCTTTATATAGTCCTTGGCAATAAGGGTGGGTTAACATTCAGCATCTTTACATACACTCAACCAAAAAAGAAAGCCCCCCCCCTTCCAATACTTTTTTGTCCAACTCAAAAACTACTGAGCACCTCGATCTCGCTCAAATAACGACATAATCAGAGCAGAAATTCCTTAGCAATCCAGCCATACTCTTTATATTTGGCCCAAAACAGTGATTATGTGTACGAATTTATGCAATATTATTATGGCAAATGATACCGAAAACAGTTGCACTTTGGTATACGTGCAAGTTGTGGTTCACTCTCGCCTTGCACGAACCCAAAGTGCAATTTCTTTTTCCGGTACCACTTCTTATAAATTGCATATTACACATTATCACTGTTTTGGGCCAAACAAAGAGTATGGCTGGATTGCTAAGGAATTTCTGTACTGATTAGTCGTAGTTTGAGCAAGATGTGCCCAGTAGTTTTTCAGTTATACAAAAAAGTATTGAGGGGGACTTTCTTTTTTGGTTGAGTGTATAACCAATAACTAAAAACTGCAACTTTTCCCCCAGTTAACTAGAAACGGAAAATCGGGCGTGGCGTAGGCTAAACATGTTTTCATAGTTTATATTGTTCGTGCTTTATGCTGATTAAACGCATGGAAATTCCAACCGACAAAATTCAGAGAATGCAACAGCGCTGAAATGAAATCACATGTACATTTTCCAGACAGTGTCATGGCCTAGCGGTTAGAGCACCGCGCCCAAATCAGTGCTCTGGTGTTTTTAGAGGCAGCAGAATGTGGGTTCGTGTCCGGGTCTGGAAGCACTTAACCATTATTGCTTCGTCCTTTGGATAAGAAGTAAAGCTGTGAGTCGTGTAATGCAATGCACGCAAAAGAACCCAGTAACACTTATCGCTATAAGAGAAGGGGTTTGCCCCGCGTTTCTGGCCTCCTATTAAAACTCCCCTGCCGAGTATTTAGAAGAACCAACCACCAAGCACAGTGCAGTGGCGTGGCTCTCCATCCATGGAAGAAAGAACACAAACCGATATCGATCATCAAAGTCATTTCAGGATACATAATGTGGGTTTCATGAAGACAAAACCATCATACGTACAATATTTTCTCTAGCATTTGCTATACACACGTCTCGCTGCATAGTTTACCAGACTATGATACGCATCACCCTGCATCATTTCCCGTCATCTTCATTCAACAGTCCATAACACAAATTGCATCGACAGATGTGCCATATGGACAGTTGGGACACGGCCACAATATAGTCATCTTTCGCGACAAACATCAGCAAATGAAAAAACAATGCGATCTTACCTGGTTGTTTACACTCACAGCCTCCCATGACGTTTCCCATCACTTAGAGTGGTGCTACTACGTGTGCCAAACCCTTCACCGATTCACTTCGTGGAATACACGGGCGAATAACATTAACATCAACACTTGCCTCAGTGTACGGCTGTCTGCATGCAGTGCATAAGTGCAGTCGAACACATGGGAAAAATAATTATTGAATTGCCTAAAGCGGACTGCACAGCCTTCGCATAGCGTATCTGCATTCAGGTTTTCTATAGCACTCGATTTTCAATGTCACAGTTCGCTTGTCAAATAAAAAAGAACCCAGCACGTGACTCGAGGGACCAAAGGTCTGTCTACCCTGCACACGGGGCGGGGCCAAGGTCACAGAAGGGGGGGGGGGCGGATGGTCGTACAGCCAAAACAGGACAGACGCATGCAATTTGAAAATTTTGAATTTGGAAATGGTATATTTGGAAATAGTTGATTTCATTGAATATTTTTTTAGCGGTGTATACTGGTACATAATATAATATATCGCTTCTATAGACTGTCCTAAATGTAGGGGGGAGGGTATTGGGCACCTCGGAAACTTACAGCTTTCCGAATTAAATGGCGCATTTGCAGCTTTCTTAATTTCTTTTATCATGTGAGCATGAAATATTCTGTTTCATTATCATCCATCCAGCTAGTTTGTCAAGAATGTACACCATTATTGATGCATATTTATGTTGTCTTTGTTTGTGACAAGTTTAATGTTTACATGTTTGTGTTAATGAATTTGCCATGATGTGCTAGTTTTACACTGGCCCCCGGCTGGCATATTATTATTCACGTCATCTGGCCCTGTCCAATCTCCGATGCCTTTCTTCAATCAACCAAGTGATAAATAAGTAAAACGACACAGAATTTCAAATTTCCCTTTCAGGGTTTTCATTCATTTTATTGTGCCATCGCAAAATACATGCTTCTTGATTTTATTTCTTGCATGAAGTCATTACAGCAATATAAACATACAAAAACTATGAACAAAATGCAAACACGGCTTTCTTCAGCCAATAGAAATTAAATAGCTCATTTTTTTCTGTCAAACGTCCACACTAACTTCCAAAAATGAACAAGCAGACTAACTTCCAAAAATGAACAAGCAGATGGGCCACTTTTTCCCAGCCACCTTTTCGATACAAAACAAGAACAGAAATACCTTTAAGTGTATTTTGTTCAGTTTTAGTTCATAGAAGTTTAAAATAGTCACCGTTGACGTCACTTGCATGTAACTGGAAAAACAGAAAAGACTGTATGACAAAATATGTGCACAATTTGTGCTAGACTATTTTGAATCCAATAAATATGACAAAGTTTTTGTGACAAAAATGTGTGAAGTATGTCTCAAAAAGCGCTAGTCCAAACTCTTCAAAAATCTCACTCAGATATTGAGTCTGAAAACAGATGATGACTGCTTTTATGACCTCTATGACGCAGCATCAACTAATTTAAATATTTATGCATGCATAAAATAGGAGCTTGCATGCATAATTGATAACTAGACCAATCAGATTCCAGAGAATGAAGAATCATACCGTGATCCAACCAATAGAATGTCGGAAGATCTCAGTGTTGCCCCTCCTCATTTACATGCATGAGGAGATCAGGTTTGCAGTCTAATACTAAATTTGCTCAAATTTATCAATGGGCAAGTTCAAGCGAGGACAATTAGTCGACTGGTGGTTGATTTTTATGCAACTTACGCCTGCGCACTATTGACCTTATTAACCAGGAAGCCATTTTTGGTCGTGTTTCCTGAGTCTATTTTATAAATTGTAAACTGTTGAATGGGATGGTGCCAGACTATTTCGCGTCCGAAGCCTCACTTTCAATCTTTTTTTCTTTAAATGTGGCTTAAAACGTTACAGTCTTTACAATTGACCTATCGCGGCAGAATCGCGGCAGAATCGTGTCAACGCAGCTTGTGAAATATTGTCCAATTACATGATATACAAATGGACGTGGAACGCGCAAAATCTGAGACAGACAAAACTTAAGTGCACACAAACTCCATAGGGTTGTCTAAGGGGCGTGGCTAACTCGCAAACGGCAATAGTTCAATTGTGCATTAAAAGGCTGTGATTGGTTAGCGCATCAGTGGGCGGTGCCTAAGGATCTGCCCACTGTCTCTACTCCATCTGCTCTTCCTGTATAAGTGTCTTTTCCTCCTGTTTCTCCTCCTCATCATCAATTTCTCCATCTTCCATCTCCAGCCCCTGGCCTTCTCTCTTCAACTGCACCTCCTCAGCTTCTCTGACTGAGGGTCCTTCGTCTTCCTCACTAATCCTCCTCTCTTCCTTTACTTCCGTTGCCTCTTCATCTCCTCTGGGTACCGCTTCTTCAACCTCTTCTTTGAACTTGACAGTTTTCTTGCGTTTTCGTCGTCTCTCCCTTTTATGCTTCTGCTCGTTCTCGTTCTTCCTCTCCTCGGCAAAGATTTTGTTGACCTGGTAAAGAAAATGGTTAACTTTGTGAAAATGGATACAATGCCACGAAATGTTTACCGAGTTTATAATTTGAGTGTAGCAGTCAAAACAACAAATATTAACAAACAAAAAAATAGCAGTCTCTTTTCGCAAAAAAGTGTATCTATAGAGTCTAAAGGTGTAGTCGATACTCTACACAATGGTCTTTATCTCATCTCATGGGTAGGTGTGGTCTAGCGGTGGAGCACAGGATTCATGATCGTGAGGTTGTGGTTCGAGCCCCGCCGTGGCCATGCGTGTTGTGCCCTTGAGTAAGGCGCTTTACCTCAATTACTCCTCTCAACCCAGGTGTTAAATGGGTACCGGCATTATTCAATGCTGGGAAGGTAACAGACTCGCTGTGGAGGAGGTGTGGCGATCCCCCCACAGCAGCATATGAGTCTGGCCCAGTCGCTAACGAAAGAGAGATGGGCACTCCGTTCCTGTTTAAAACACAGGTTCGTCCACTTTGCTTTACCATCTTATTTATACACCCCAGTCCAGAGATACAGCTAATTAAATGAAAGGACTTGAATTCCAAGTTGGGCCATTTTTCAGATAATCTGGTATCTAATGAAAGGCATTCACATACCAAGAAGATGCTTGAATGCCTTTCATAATTTGATACCAGATACTCTATAAAGTGGCCCAAACAGATTTTGACAGTCTTTACAAGCTTTGCCGTAACTTTTAAACAAAAGGTCCAAATCACACAGAACAAAAATCATGTCAAAGGTAAACAAACACTCTATCATCTCATGGTAAATATCTTCACAAAAATGATGTAGTTTCCTCAGAAAAAAATCTGTACTGCAATGAGTATATTTTCACAATCAATAATTAGTTCCACTTTGGCACAATTTTAAACTAAAGAGCATTCCGGAACTGTTTAGATTCATAAGGCAGACACTAACCAATTTCTCTGAGATTCAAACAGCAGCTCACATAAGGAAACAACCAAGGAATGGTAAAAAAAACAAATACGATTAAAGATTGATAAATAATGAAATGATAATTGTAAAGACTGTACTGACTTGTTCTTTTGTAACCTGCGGATCTGTCTTCATCAGCTGAAGAAACACTCCACCCGGTGATCGCCTTCGAGAGCCATTCTGTAAACAAAAACAACAACAAAAACAAACAAACAAAATAAATTAACTGATCAAGAGTTTCAGATTTTTCACCTTTAAGGGAAGTTCAATTTTCAGCGACTTCCAAACTGCATCCATCCTTTTAGAATCCGCAGGGATAGGCTCAAACACAATCAGTTTATCATGGTGATTGTGTTCTTAGGCAAGACACTTTACAACAACTGCTCGTAATAACCAATTAACAAAATGGATATCTGAGAGTTGGAACCAATAGGCCTAAAGCCTCTGTACTGATGATGTCACACTCCGTTTACATGTGTGCTTTCTTACGGGAGCCTGGTGGGGACGACAGTTTCATACGGGTAACCCATTGAAAAGTGCACACGTAAACAAAGTGTGACGTCATCAGTAAAGAGGCTTAAGGAATTTGCAGGATTGAGGCTATCATGTATATGCTATTTTTCCACGAGGCCAATTGGAGGATTTTGCAGGATTGCGGCTACATCCTAGCGAAAAGGCCTAGGGAGTTAAGGTTAAAAGATTGTAGCAATGCATGTACATACAGGCTTTTCTCGAAATAAGTTGGTGTTTAATGATGAAAATTACAAATGCTTTCCCACTCACCAGTATCATCATGCCGCCATCTTTTTCAATATCTGCAGTCAAGTTCCACAACTCTAAAGATTTCTCCACTCCGAGGGTGTCCACGACTCTCACGATCAGTTCTCGCTTAGGTTCTTGCAGACTGTAAGCCAATTTGCCTGTTATCTCTTTCTTGCTAAGCGCCGGGTCGATGGTGATGAGCTTCATGGGGGTGACGTCGGAAGACTCTACTCGACTCCCGAGTCTGGCTTTGGCGATCGGCCTGTGGCTAGGAACTCTCTCCCCAAGCCGATCATGCACGGGTTTTCGCTCACCGCTCTCAGTTTGGTTTCGCTGCGGATTCACAAGCCAGCTATCATCGTCCGCTTCTCCGATGCCTCGTTTGAGATTCCTCCCCTGGTTCGACTCCGGTTTGGAGACAGATGGCGCTCCTAGATACACCCTCGACGCGTTCTCCTCTGTATCCAGTTTGTAGTTGTAGCTTTCGACGTCCCGGCTGCGATTTAAGTCCATGCCAAATTCGTCCATTTCACGAGCGACCAGGGCCTCGTTCTGCTGTTGCACGACCTCGCCCCAGACGTTATTCCTCCGGGGTCTTTTCACACCTGCTTGGGAGCTGTTGCCGGGAGCAACCTTCGGAGCATCCTGCTTCAGGTCTGAGCCAATCGGATGCTGTTTCTGGCTGCGTATGCCCTGTGATTGGCTCGTCGCCTTTCGACGTTTCCACGGCTGATCCTCCTCACTGTCACTGTTTGAATCGCCACTGCTATCGTCCGAGCTATTGGTCGACACGGGACGGACGTCTCTGTAGCTTGCCATGTCAAATTATTTCTCACACGGTGTTCCGCAAATACATGTAGATTTGCCCAATCTGGAACAAAACAGTTTAAACCGAATCAATATTTTTTTTTAATAAGAATACTGAAAATCCTTGCATTTTGCAAGGCAACTGAGTCAAAAACTTAAGTTATGGCAGTATAGGCCCTACCTTTCTTTTGCTGGGATATGCATGAGTGAATCTTTTGAGCATTCACTGTTACTGAATTAAAATAGCAAAAGATTGATTCAAGTCTGGTTTCAAGAGCCCAAGGTCCTGATGTTGAATACATGTCAGGCCAGGCATGCAACTTGACTGCCGTACGCATAACAATAGCCACATATTTATGGAACTATTCCTGATGAACAAGATGATAATGACCTTAATTAAATTAATATCATGAGAGTAAAACTGAAACTTTAGGTTTAGGCCTAGCTCCAGCTGACAGTGACATGCTCACATGCATGGGAATGAATATGAGCATGTCAGCTGGAGATTTAATACTCGAGCTAGTTTAGGCCCCTAAAAAGTTTCACTAGTCAGCTTATGTTTTCCGCTCTTATGATTTGGAACTATGGAAGTAATTTAGAAAATAGTTGACATAATCGCTAATAATTCCTCCATGGTCATACCAATCTGTTCCAGTAATTTACAGTGATTTTGTGTGTGTTTACAAACACGAGTTCGGCATATTCTTCCGTACCGCACACTTGTATGTGCCCCCAACACCCAGACGTCTCGCGCATTTAGATAAACCATTCAGCACTAAAGATAAAATAGCCCGACTATAGCGCACTTTTTAAAGAGCGCCCTCGCGCGTGTTTCGAAACTTTCGACAGCACAATTTTGTAATAAAAACTTACCCGTGATATAATTATGACTCCGGAATATCATGTGATTTAGTTGTCCACATTGAATGTGAAAAATTGCTTCTTCCATGGCATCTTCAATACAACTCTTTAATAGTGGTCTTCGGGGCGGGGGGGGGGGGGGTCACAGTCGAAAAAGGGGTAACATGATACTGCGTGAGAACGGTTGCTCATGAAAAAAAATCTCGAAACAACCGAAAAGTAGATGCCTATTTTGCTATGGGGATCATGGCGGTCGTTACATGGAGAGTGCACTTACATTTCAACACAATTAGTTGTGTGTTTTTCTCCCACGGGGATATGCAAAGCTCTTGTGCATTTATGGCCCGAATCAAAACACGATCAAAATAGACAGAGAACACCAAATGGCTGCTCAAAATGCAACCTGTACTGTAGATTATCGAGGGGGTCTATCCGATGTTCCCCAGTACCTATAATGGTTCCCCAATACCGATGTTCCCCGACTTGGGATTAGGGTTATAGGGTAAGGATTTCGGGGTAATACCGGCGGTAGTGGGGAACACAGGTATTGGGGAATATAGGCATGCACGCGGTATCTATGGGGTGTGGCTACATCAGTGACGAATTCTGGTTCACTTTATGTCATCATGCAGTTAATAATTATCAATTGCTTGCGGATCTCGTACACCATGATATAAGTGTATTGGATTTTACAGGAGTTTTGCAAGTTGGAAAATCTTGCTCTCCAGAATAAAAACACTTTACTGCTCAAGTTCAACCAAACCCTTTACTTTTCCACGAATTCAAAATAGGACATAGGGGGAAGGGTCGAGGTCAAGAGGGGAGGGGGGGGGGGGGGTTAACTGCCAAAGGGGAAGGCAAATGTGTTTCTGCGTGATTTTCCTATATTTTTGCCAAAGAGTGGGTTTTATAACCAGCAACCTGAGACAACTGCCATATAATTAAGGGCCCATGAAACTTGAAAACACAATATCTTGGGGGGGGGGGATAAAACTGTGGTGTCCACTAAATTGGGTCAATTACGGCGATTTTTTTTTTGGAGGGGGGGATTCTACATATGCTCTGTGCATGTGGATGCGATCTGAGGCAATTGCTGGTCAATATTTACCCGAATTCGTATGAAGAAAAGATGGTGGTGTAGACAGTGCCTGCTTTTATTGCGACGTCCGAGTTCGTTTTTTTGTTGGTGTGTGTGTTTTTTGTGTTTTTTTTTGGGGGGGGGGGGGGGGAATGGCCCCGTTGCCCCCTGGATCCGCCTTATGTGGGATTGTTGTTTATGTAGCATAATTACGCACAGTGTACAGTCTATATGTACATTGTGTGTACATGTATTTTGCACAACGCTTCCGTGCACTCGGTCAAAAGAAAACCTTACGTGCCGTGAAATCCATGCAGGTATGATTAGACTTTGTATCAGGGTCAAAAGATTATTGACACAAAGCACGACAGATAATATTCACCTGACGGCATAGGCACATGACTCCCCCAAAATGAAAACCAACATGGCGACTGTGGAGTGTACAACCGCCCATTGGCGGGCTACGGTTGCGTTAGCTACAATTCTACTGCAGTTTCTGGTCTTGGCGAGCCTTGCGAGTCAAGGCACATGCCAGATTACTCTTGCTACGCCATCGGCAGTCACAACCAAAAGGCCGACTCTTGTTGTACCCACAATACCTCCTGTAACGCATGCAACTGCCCAGACGGTAGGACCAACCAAGCATACCGCCCACACCGTAGCTCCGGCCCATCCAACAGCCGGAATTCTCTGTGGGGACTACAGGACTGCCGATTTTGACTTCAGCCAACTTGTAAGGTAAACAACAAACAAACAAACAAACACCCCAACACCCCAACGCAGACAAAAGCTAGTTTCCAGACTTTTTTTTGGGGGGGGGGGGGGAGGAGGCGTTCACTTTTCGAATGTATTATTTTTTTAGGCCGGGGTATAAATTTGCAAATATATGTAGTGTCCATATTTCTGATGTCAAAAAAGTGTAGGTTTGTTTTGGACTTTTCGGGGAAATGTTCGGGATTTTATTGCGGGAAATGTTTCAGACGACTTTGGAGTTTTTAAAATTAGGCACTTGTACTGAGCTCTTAAACAATGACTACGAAGGCAACTCGAAACGTTTTGCCCTATCATTGCCCTTAGCCCTATGTACCACTTGTTACTTTATAGCCTAACGGCTAGGAACATCAAGAAAACTCTTAGTACTTTAGAGTTTATGATAAGTAAAATATCATCAAAATCAGACATTTTAAAATAAAATGTGGATTTTTTTTCGTTTAGTTTGTCATTTGTTTAGTTTTTTTTTTATTAAAATGAACTTTATGTCATCAGTGATGTAAAACTCATGTATAATACGTGCCAGTAAAAACTAGCAATCGGAGAAAACGGCATTTTAAGTTGAACGCCTAGAGCAACACTTTCCTTCAAAACTGCACAGTATTTTCAGATTGGTTTCTTGTTGTGGATTGTATTGAATGTATTAAATCTGCTGTTTTTGACCCGTGTGTATATTAAATCAACAAGAAATAAGCGGAAAAAGAGGTGATGCTAGTTCGTGAAACCAATAAAAACTGCGACTACACACATTTTCACGAAGTCGTACGCTTCATTGAATGTATTACAACACTACGTGAGTGCTACTTCGTGAAACGGAGGTGTTACTTCGTGAAAAACGCTTTTGCTCGCATACGGAGCACACAGCGCGCCATCATTACAATGGAAAATGGAACTGTGCTACTTGAAAACAAAAATTGTCACTTTCGCGCAAAAGTCGCCATGGAGAATTAGCGTAATTATTAAAGTAAAACTCTTGAAGCTTTTGAAACTTCGTGCAATGGTAGGCCTTGGTGAATATTGAATAATGATTAAAAATGTTTTTTTTTTTTTTAACTGAAAACCGAAAATATGGTTTAACACGTGGAGTGCTACTTCGTGGTGTCGGTGACGGTATTGTATAGACGATTCTCTCCGAATATTATAACATTTTGTGCTCGGCATTTCATGCTTGCAGAGGAAGGTGTGTCCTAGCTGTTAGGGTTCGTGACTCATGATCAGAGGGTCAGGGGTTCGAATCCAGCTGCTGGTCATGTTGTGTCCTTGGGCAGGCCACTTCATCCCCACTTGCCTCTCTGCACCCAGGGTATAATGGGTACCTGCATGCATTAGCTGTGGGGAGTAACCTGCGATGGACTGGCATCCCATCCAGGGGGAATAGAAATATTCTCAGTCCTTTCATGCCACTGAAACGGAGATAAACGCTGGCCTGATGGGCCATGTTGGCTCGGGACAGACTTTACTTAACACTTTAATCAATATGTTATTTCGAGTTTGTGTGATATTATGCTTCAAATTTCAGTGTCGAGTACTGGACTGTAGATTTGCAAGGGGCGTGTATCGACAGTTACGATACGAAGACCCTCTGCACGCTCAGTTTTGCATTCTGCCATCAGCTGCCCACGAGTTTGGTGGGGAAAATCGGCGTAGGAGCATCGCAGAAGTCGGAGGCAGCTCTCAGCGAAAGAATAACACTGGGAGGACTAAGTGAAATCTCTCAAAGCAAAGGCGGTAAGAATCAAACTCGTTCCCAGGGTGTCGAGCAGTACGCGCCCACCATCACCTGCTATGGGCCTTATAAACGAGCTGGCCATTTTTGTCGAGTTCCCTGAATGTATTTCTTTAATTGTTAAAATGTGTAATGGGATGGCGCCAGACTATTTTTTGCAGGCACAATGCAGCCTTATTTTACTGTCATTTTTTTTTAAATATGGCTTTAAACATTAAGGAATGTTTAATTACAAATGTTCAATTATTCATTGAAGCAGATTGGAATTTATTACATGAACTTGCTTTCATTTCTCTTCCCAAGTTCCAAAAAAATAAGATTTTACCTCACTTTCAATTCAATTTGGCCGACTCATGAATAAGACTCATCGATTCATTTGCATTTGCACAATTTTGAACACGTATGCAAATGAGGAATAGTCTGGTGTCGTCCTGTGCTTTACATCAGCGCGTTTTTTTGCTTGTGGTGTCGGGGGTAAAAACACAATCTTATTGTCGAAGTTAAAATGTTACAATCGTATCCAGTCGATATGCAGTAGGTCCTGTCACATTTCATATTAAAATGAACGAATTGGAAAGGAAATGATTCTTGTTGAAACGGTGTGGACGTAATAATTATAATGAACGTGAACACTCGTTTTACACGTTGGAAATATATACACTAAGTACACGATATATATCCAGTTTTGGTATCGAATCAGCAGTAGGGCCTATAGCAGGAAGAAAGTTTCCCGGGCATATTATTGGAAACGAGGTTAGAAATAAAGCAGGCCCTGGGGATAAGGTTGGGTAAGACCAGAACGGTTCCCTGTAAGATATTGTCTCCCATCAGGTACAACCGGGGGAAACATGAAAACAGTTTTTAACGCGCTGCCCAAAATATGGTCGTATAAACCTTTCCCCACAGGGTTAAAATTCCAATGGTAATCGTAGAGTCAGTGAAAAAAAACAACAACATTAGGCCTACACTACGTCTGGTTTTGAACTCTTGAAAAAATATATAAATAAATCGGTCACAGGCAGTTAAGATGTTGAGATGGAGGGCCTTAAAAGGCCCATGCAATGTAACTTTTTAAATGCAATCCAATTGGAATTACACATGTGAGCAAGGCTATTTTTGGTGGGTTTTTTTTTGGGGGGGGGGGGGGTTGTGCTAATGAGAATTTCCATATTCATGAGCATTGTTTTCAATGAGCAAAATGTTAAGTTCACAATTTCAACGGCACACCCCTAAACTGAACGGTTTATTCCTGAAATGACATCACGGCAACAGCGTCCTCGAGTTGTCCGGGAAAAGCATGGACAGTTTACATGTTTAAAAAGGTGCCCTTTTCATATGATAAAATTAAAAGTGTTTATTTTGTACCCCCCCCCCCCCAAAAAGAAAAAAAACCGCTTAGACCAGAAAGGGACCGGGGACTTTTCCAAAGACAAATGGGACAAATCTTGGGGAAATTGGAAGAAAATAACAAAACTGTTAGGATCCTTGCACATTTTCAATGGGCCGCTCTCGCTTTTTGCCTTCGGGCCCAAAGATGCGCATGCGTGCATGAATTTGAATTTGAATGAATTTGAATTTATTAGTGAACTGGGTATATTGTACGTACAAATCCGGGCCGCAGTCGCACGCAGGTTATATACCATGTGACCATAACATTACTGCATATAATCTTGCCTCCATTTTACACAATGTTCATGAACAACTTTTGGAATTACTACAAACAATTTCTGTTAAGAATTTAATTTATTTGTTTGTTTTTTTTTTTTAATTAAAATTTGGAAGTTATATTTTAATGGAAACGTTAATAGGGGTTCATTTTCGGTTAATTTTACGGGGACAGACATAATGTAAAAATATAGACGCGCATGCGCATCGATCTAGAGTAGACAAAGCCCGTATTCCGAAAACTTTTGGCATTTTGTCAATATTTGGTCATATATTTGTTGGTCAATTTTCGTGGATAGACAGACCGACCGACCGACCGACCGACCACCAAGTGACATGTAGAGGCTCCCGCCAGAGCTTAAAAACCTCATAAGGTTGCAGGCCAGTAAATCGGTCCAAAATCGCCTACGCCGGCCAAATCACGGTTTGCATGCCCTCAAATATTCGTTATAGGGGTGATCATCTTCAGATATAAATTTCTCCTAAAAGTCATCAGTTACCCCCCCCCCCAAAAAAAATTAGCTTTAATATGTGTCTCGAATACTTTGGAGAGTTGCGAGTATTTTTCCTGAATTTTTGAAGTGGGGACATTTATCATTGGGGGACTATGGCAGTTTATTTACTGCTGGTCTGCAACCATAATCGCATCCGGGCTCATTGAGTCTAGGTTGAAAATAAAGTAAGCAATTGGTACGAGGTTGATTTTGCATTCAATCTGCCCAGCTTCTTTTTTTTTTTTTAATCGAATTGCCAGACCAGGGGGATCAACTGTTCATTCGATTCAGCAATGGAGATCGCACGATATGTGGCGGCGAGGAGAAGAATATAACGGTTGAGATGTATCTGCATTGTAACCCAGACGTCCATTGGTTGACGCCCCACACCGGAAACTCGGGGTCAATGCCCGCCCTGACCATACCGTCTTGGAACAAGGACACATGCCTGGTATGATAGGTTCATGCAATGTATAGTTGCAACCTCGTTTTCATGGGTATGATCTTACTGCGCCATGTTGTTTCCCGAAAATGCACCTTTTTGTGTCCACCTTATCTTTATTTTTAATTACCATTTTGTCATTTTCATGTTGGCGCCTTTTTGGTTTTTAATGCTCATGCAAATTTCCATATTCATGAGCAAGTCTGTATTGTCATTTCGTAAATAAACCTCATTGTATCAGCTAATTCAGCATCTAAGGCAAGAATTTTGATATTTTGCCGTCATAGATTTACTTTTCTTTGGTTATAAGTTGTGTAAATATACAGTAATCATAAGCCAATGAGCAAAGTTTTTTCATAAACGTTTTCAATGAGCAAAATGTTTGGGTTCACAGTTTGAACAGAAACCCCTAAACTTAACAGTGTCTTCCTGAAATGACTTCACAGCAACATCGCCCTCAGTTGTCCAACACGGACAATTTTTAATGTTAAAAAAGGTGTACTTTTCAATAATAGTAACCAAAATGTGATGCCAGATAGTTTTCATACATAAAGGAGGAGAAGAAAGTTGCACAAAATTAATGTTCCCCATAAAAAAAATCATGACATGAATCCTTTCAGCTGTTTTTGAAACATAGACTTAATAGGACGACTTCGGTGATATATAGAGCCGTCATCACAGATCTTATAATTGCTTCCCGTGGATCAAGTTTCTATTTACCTTTATAAGATGCACAATGGTGTAATGTCATCTAAATCTTGTAATGAAGCCTGCTTTTTTAGTTCTTTTTCATTTATTTATTACATTTCTTTACCCAGGGTGTGCCCAAACAGTTTAAAACTGGTTTCCATTGGGGCCCTGCATACTTTATATACACACAATGTGCCAATTAATACAATACATTACAAATACAATACACCACAATGAAATAAAATAGAAGCAAACGAGATAACTGCATGATTGTAAGGCAACTATTATAAATATTGTACAACATTACAAAGAAGAACTTGTACAGTTTGAAACGACACCGCTAATTAGGTGACTCAAGTGTTCACGAAGAATTTGGACATTTCTTGTGACATTGGTAAAATATATTTCTATACATTCGCTGATTACGGAGGGGCGAAAAACACATGGAAAAAACCTTTTAGGAGAAAAAAACCGGAAAAATTTCCATCCGGCTCCTTTTTATTATGGCAGACAAGTTTGTCAACTTCCTTAAGTCAGCAAAGATGTATATTATTGTATACCCATTTCGTATAAAGATTTTAAATAAAGGAAGCCACTGTCTGAAGCCGAAGTCGTGTTTTCAGAGGTGGCCTATGGTGTTATATTGAAAATTGTCCCACTAGGTAAAAATTATTTATTGAAATATGTTTCTGCCTGTCGCCTTTATTAATGAATACCTTCTGTTTATTTTTAACAGTATACAGTAGTAAGTCAGTATGACGGTGCATGTATCTCATATGGACTGAGTGCAGGGACGATCATCATTATCATGTAAGTGGGGAAAATAACGGCATTTGGCTCAAAGCATTAACTACAGGTGGCCCTGTTTAGCCTCATCGCGAGATCAGAGGATGGGCCTCGCATGCGCAAAGAGTTTCTTTTTTGCAGAGGGAGCCTTTGATAATAATAGTAGTCGAAATGGAACACGTGAACCACCAATCACCTCCGAAAAGCAAAAAGTCGTCCTCACTAACAAAATCGTAATACATTCACTAGTTATCGCACCCGCTCTTGTTTTACTATACTCGGAGGACAATGCTTTGTGTTTTCCTTTGTCCCTGTAATATAACACTCTCCCGTAGACTAAGCACACAAACCTACTACAGAGGACCATTTTGAACAAAAGGCCCAACTCCCGAGGACTGAAATGATCTGTTGTTCTCCCTTTGTGAGGCTGTTCTCGGGGTCATGTAGAACAAGTACACGTGGCACGTATACACCAATGTTGGTCAACTTGGGCAAATTTGTTTCCCAATCCGGTTCGTTAGTACGTCATACACGCGCGCGCACCACTGATTACTCACGCCCATTGGATAAACACTCAAGTTGCTTTAGCTTCCAGTTCCATTCGTGCTATGCTACACCGTGTGAAGTACACATGGAACCATAAGTTGCGATGACGTCACACTAACGAACCGGATAATTGGTCAATTATTTTCACTAGCTGCAGGATAACAGCTCAACAAATCATCATAACTATCTCTCCGTTAGTCCGTCAGTATAACAAACGTTGACATTGTCAATCGCTCCTACATGTTTTGATTGATTTCAACCACACTTTGTCAAAAGTATCAGCAGACCCAGCCCCAACGCGTGCCACATGACCAAACTGGGGTCAAAGGTCATCATGGAGTCACTGGGGTCAAAAACCTGATTAAGTGTTTTACTCAAAACACTACAACTTCCGGGAATTAGATGTAACGATCACGTGACTCATGCATGAACACGAGATATTTTTGATCGAGCTGAAATAACCAATAATCAAAATGTATATACCAATTGGGCTAATGACATTTCCCCACAGTGTTTTACCCAACATTTTTTTTTACAGTGTACAATGTATTACCTTTTCCGGCAGTTTACAAAATTCGCCGACATTTCTAATATCGTTTATTGTAATTTTTTGTCCACACAGCTTTTTCTGTTTGGTTGCCGTGTACCTCATCGGCGGCGTCATCTATAACAAGATAGCGGGCGCAAAAGGCTTGGAGCTAATTCCAAACTACCACATGTGGAGGATGTTTCCCATTGACGTCATGGTAGGTAACCATGGGAACATTGCGCGGTCATGTTTTGTGTTATTAAACTAAAAAAAAGTGAAGAGGTTGTTTGAAGGAAACGTTGGTGATACGATTTTTGCATTGGTGATTGGTTGCTTGGGTATGCATCATGGTATGCATCCAGGCTTCTGAATTTAAAAAAACGCCCCCCTCGCGTTTATTCTGGGGCATATTCCGGACTAACCGTGACTGTAGTCTTGTAGTTTTGTATAATAATTTTGTAAGACGATGAATACAGCATTCAAATGGGCGTCACAAGGGGAGGGGCGGGGCGCTTCCCCCATGGAAAAAAGGAAACAAAAAAGAAAGAGAAAGAGGCGCGAAGTATATTGTTGTTAATTTTGATGGGATGGGGGGGGGGGGGCAAATGTCCGTGCCTGCCCCCCAAAATGATAGAGAATATGCTGGAAAAGTAAAGGTATTTCGTGGGGAAAATGTGCTTTGCCCCTCTCAGAAAAGAAATCCTGGCGACGCCCATGAGCATTCACTTACTGCCCACTGTACTTCATGCATGAGACGCGCAAAGGATTGTGGGGCTTTATGGTTGCAAAGAGCACAATGCTAAAGGTGTTGAAACAAGCTTGTGCGTTTTCTAGGGTACGAGGAGAACAATGAGCAATTACCTAATGAATGATTGTTTTTCTTCCTTCTCAGGGTGGTTTTGCGTTTGTGTGGCATATCATCACTTGTCAGGGAAAGTCGAAATCGGAGGTGTACGACGAACTCTAAAGACGTACGGCTCGTCGCGTGGCAGTGTCGCTTGAAATGGCGATGTACTTTGCTTCATATGTCATTAAAGGTGACTTCGCTAATGCCCATCGCCCTATCTAGATCGAACGAGTAGGCCCCGCCCCGAAATGTTTTGACCAATTATAGTAGCCTTGATTAATGTCCAAGATGCGTGCACATGGCGTGTTCACGCGCGTCTAGTCTATCCGCGTATGCATAGGCTAGAACTTAAATAAGTTCTATCTATGCGCGTATGATGTGTTGTCACGTGCGCAGTGGGCGGGGCTTACTATTAAAGGTCACCACCGCTTTTGATAGGGCGTTGTGCACGAGCGAATGAGGTGACATCATTATTAAGAGGCAAATGGGACAACCCTTTAAGATGTTTTATACTTTAATAACAGTCAACACGACTGTACAGGAAAATGATAAGTTTATCACACCCAAAATAAAGTCAGAAATAATATGCCCACTAAGTATTACTTTTGTTAAATATAATTTTTAAGACAGCGGCAAAACATCTTTTGATTAATTACCATAAACAACTGGTGCATTATCTTTGTATACATAGCGTGTGATTGGCTAGCTTTTTTTCTAGAAAACAAATTAATCAAAGACAGCAAGCCTGATTTGAATTCCATGAAAAATAATCACCAAGTACTTTTAAAGAAAATGTTCACCAAAATATATAAATTGAAATTAATGTTTACACAGTTTTTTGTTGTAGAAGGCTGGCCCAGTATTCTCTTTGTACCTATATCCGACTGGCCGACTGTCACTTGTTAGCCGGGCAGTTCTATCGTATAGGAGTACCCCGTCTCGCCAATGAATGAGCGAAATCCGGCCCATAGATCATGTGCAACAAAAAAGACTTACAGTGAATAGTCATTCTGAATCAATACAATAGATTAATTGTGTACACAACAGGGTGAGTAAAACAAAAAGGAAACCCAAATGGCAGGACCATTTTCTGAATGAAGTTCTGCATGTATCACTTTCAAAATCTAGGATAAGAAAGCCCAATTATGGCACCTGGTGTGAAATCATTTTCAAGAAAAGTGGTATTTGTGCATAAATTCCCAGCAGTGGTTGGCCGACCACTGTTGGAAAAACCTAACTATTTTTCAACTACTGCTCCAAATTTACCATTTGTTTTTCAGCCCAAATTTTGTTTGCTATTGGTTACATGTTCATGAATGGGTGCAGGCCAGCTAGACTCCGGGTTCCTTTACCTTACAATTTTCCGGCATCTATAAATTGATCCAGTTCATCTTTAGTGTAGTCAGGGAACCAGACTACTAGAACATTTTTGTTTTTCTTTGTTTTTCCAGCATTTTCGAACACAAAACTTCAAACATGTCATTGTAACAATATTTGGTCTTCTATACTAACCCCTCAAATAGTCCATTTCTGAAAATTACAGCACAAGCCAATGATGTGCATTCCCTTTAAGAAGCTTCCTTTTAGTACAAGAATCATTCAAATCACCCATGTACTTTTCAAGTTGCGGAATTTTTGTAAAAACACAACCACCGTTTTAACGTACTGTCCACGGATCACAAAAAAAGTGAGTGTTCTTTCTGCAGAACGAAAACAATGCTCACAGTCATAATCCCTGTGTGAATTGCCTTAATTCGTTTTGCTGAAAGACTCAAACACCTTTTTGTGATCCGTGGACAGAACTTTAAAATGGCAGTTGTGTTTAAAAGTCCGTAACTTGAAAAGTACATGAGCGATTTGAATGATTCTTGTACTAAAAAGCGTAACAATTGGGCTTTAATTTCCTACATTTTGAAAGTGCTACATGCAGAACGTCATTCAGAAAATGGTCCTGCCATTTGAGTGTCTTTTTTTTACTCACTCTGTAGTGATCCTGGGACTAATATTTCCCAGTCTTATTGCTGTACATTTTAAAAAAGCTAAGCTTCTGGTTTAATAATTGCTTATAAGGTTGGGTGATCTAGTCCTCTCTATTTTTTTGTATTGAGGCTTTTGTCACAAAAATGCATTTTGTATAAGAAATCATACAAGTTGTGTCCACTAATTTGCCATAAATGAAAAATGTGTGGACTCGTTTTTGAATGCGTGCACTGGACAAATTCAGATATGAAAAAGTTATTTCGAAATTATTATACTTCTGCTTCTCAGCTTCTAAAAAAAATATTAAAAAACACTAACTTGTTTATTAAGGAAGAAAACTGCTGATTAAAACTGAAATGTCTGTTGGGTGCAATGTTATGATTATAGGATAAAGGTTATGGGATTGTTTTTTGGTGTTAAAAAGGCAAGAACAAATTCTTTTGTAACATGTAAATGTTGTATTTTGTATGATTTTTATAATAAACGAAATTACCAAGAAACCAAGGGAAGTGAATCAACTAGTTTCATTTCTGTATTTACTTAGTATGTATTGAACAGTTCTTCTGCGACTGATTGGGCTACCCTGGCAAAAAACACGATAAATAAAACAATCATAATATGTGTATTTATTTGAATATACATTTCAATTTTTTTCGCATGGCGGCGCACCCAACTTAGCCCAAGTAAGTTCGATGCCCCCCCTCCCCCTGTTACACACTATATTTTGTTTAGGCGTGGCGTTCATTTTTTTTTTGTCACCGAAAACAGGGGAATAAATTACTTTTTCCCTCAATGCACACCGTCACACCAATTTTAATATGAGTTTCACAAATGTACTGACATTAAATTTAGTCCGTCATCGAATGCGTCCAGGCCTCTCGATCGAGAAAAACTCGAGGGGAACATGATCATCTATCACACCGCACCCGGCTTAATTGTACGTGTCATAACGTCATGTGACTTTTACTTTCAACATGGCGGCGCACAGGACGTGCTCGGAGTTTTGGAGTTTCTCCTTAAGAAACGCTCAATTTTACTTTTTATTGGTCCTTGTTGCCTTCGTTTTGAATTGCAAGACAGTCTTCGGACAAGCGGTTACATTGTCACCCCTTTGCGGCTCAAACCTGTACGATATGGAGACGTTAAAATCGTAAGTAAACTGTGTATTTTACCCTGTTTTGCTTTACCCGCACTGGCGACCGGCGTACTAAGGTCGTGCCTAGCCCCATAATGTGGCCAGTTTACTGGACTGCCTCCGTAAACACATCCTCCATCATGGAATCTAACTCGGCGAAATTTGAAAGTGATTTCCACATTGCGACTTCTGACCCAGTTCATTTATGCTTTAAAAATACACTCACCATGCTCACCCTCTTATTCTTAATAACAAAATTGGAACCTGCTGCAGTTGCCTAGCCCCATAAATGTGGCCTATTTACTGGACTGCCTCCGTAAACATAGGCCACACATCCACATGTACAAAAATCATGTCGACTTTGCCAAATTTTGATTTTCACATTTAGGCTTAGTTTGTAGGATTTTTTTGCTTTAGAAGCATACTCACCCTCTTTATAGGCATGATAGGCTAGTCAGAAAGTGCTGCCTTTTTCAGATGTCTAATTTTTGTGAAATTTCATGTTGAAATTTTGATACGCAAACATGTAAAAATGAATTTGGAAATTTCACGAAAAATATACATCTGAAAAAGGCAGCACTTTCTGATTAGCCTATATAGTGGGTGAGAATGCTTCTAAAGCAAACAAAACCTACAAAGTAAGCCTAAATGTGAAAATCAAAATTTGGCAAAGTCGACACGATTTTTGTACATGTGGATGTGTGGCCTATGTTTACGGAGGCAGTCCAGTAAATAGGCCACATTTATGGGGCTAGCAGTTGCCCAGCTGCTGCGTAATTTACGATTATTTCTGGAGCCTTCTTGGCAACTTGGATTCTACCTCCATGGTCCAACTGAACAATGCCCTCACGCAATATGCGATATGCAGGGATCGTTCACGCCTCAAAGAGTTAAGGTTAACCCTAACTCCTTAGGGGCCTGTTTGCTTGGATGTAGCCTCAATCCTGCAAAATCCTCCAATTTGCCTCATGGTAAAAAAGCATATCCTGCGAATTCCTCCATTATGATTATGTCTTGAATATGGTCTGTGGAGGGGTGACCACTGCCTGAATCCTGCAAAATCCTGCAGCAGTGACTGTCAATATGTTGAGGCTTGGCCAGTGACATCCAGGAGCAGTACGGAGGATTTCAAGCATAATCCAGGCCTATTTTTATGCATGGCTGAGGTCCAGCCCAAGACCTTGACAAAGTGCATCCTATGAATCAGTAACGCACTTTTGCCATGTAACCTCAATCCTCCAAATTCCTCCACTTTGGCAAAGAGGATTTTGAAAGATGCAAGGCAGTAGGGATTGCACTAACGGTTACATTTCTCGACAGTGTCCCCTACTGGACCATCACCCAGCCAGGTATTTGCTATGAAAGTTGGGGAACCAAAGCACTCAGTTGCACCATCAACCTAGCATTCTGCAAAGCTCTTCCGCTCGACAAAACTGGAGGCCAGGAAGACATTGGTGCTTCACAAGAACTTACAGGTGCTGTCGGAGACAATCCATTGGCACTTGGACAGATCAGTCGTGTCATTGACGATGGTAAGGAAACAGCCTTTGTTTTCATTAAAATTTGTTTTCTTTATTTTTCCTTTTCAGCCATCGGCCCATAGCATTTGTACATGTTTTTTTTTGTTCCTGGCACTTTGTGCACTAAAGTTTATCCAATTGCTTTAAAGCTGGCACACACTTAGACCACCATCCACAGATGTGGCCGTCATTGACGCCATCATGATGTCATCACAAGTCACATGACGTCACATTAAAAGTGCATATTTTGAATGCCTATATCTACAGAACTACAGGTCCGATGGGTTGGGGGGGGGGGGGCTCATGCCATATTTTCAATGGGGAGCGTCAATAAAATCCTAAAATCATTCACACTATATTAACTACAAATGCACCCTTGTCACAACTATTTCTTTAGGGGGAGACTGTTCGCATGTACATCACAATCCTTCTTTTTGCTAATGCAATTTCTTTTTACGGAATTTATTTTTGGGGGGGGCTAGAGCTAAAGCCCCCCCCCCCCCCCCAGCGCCCCTGTAGAACCGCGCCTGTGGGTCACGTGAAGTCAGGTTAAAGATAAATAGATTTAATCTTTGAAAATCAATATTAAATCCATCGTGAGAGACCTGAACTTGACGTTTGCGGGAATTGATAGAGTAATCCAGGATCTTCATTTTATCTCGTGTGCTAAATCATGTGACCCTTCCTTCCTGTTCAAACTGGAAGTGCCTTATAATTTTAATTTGGGTGTGAACTTGCTTTCAACAATGTCAAGTCTCTGGCTGGGTTGTACAAAATGTACTTGACAAAATAAATTACCAGTGATGTTATAAAAATGTTAGATGCCACTTGTCACAAAACGTTGTCGAAACAGCCCTGTGTTTGTCCACAAACATAAGTCTAGTTTTGTTTGGTTCTCGACATTACCAATCATTACTCATTCCCTGAATAACTGATGAATAAAAACAAAAAATAGTGTTGGGGGTGGTACAGGGCATAAGGCAATAAACCAGTTTCTCGTGCCCGCCTTTTTTCTTTTCCTGTCGCTGCCTTTTTTTGTGTCGCCTCAATGAACTTTTGGGAGACACTAAACCAGTCCTTAATTCTGGATGTCCGAAGACCTGTACAATTTACAGGGGAAGTAAAAAAAAAAAAGCCCAAGTGTTGGGACCATTGTTTTATAGTGAAGTTCTGCATGTACATGTAGGACTTTCAAAATCTAGGATATGAAATCCCAATTCTTCACCCTAACGTACCTGAATCCATCCCCTGTTTCGGGGGATTTCGGTGGATTCAGAATTCCTCCATATTGCACAAACTGGGGGATTTTTGATGGATTCAGGATTGTCGTGTCCGATGTAAACAACCGGTTTTTTTTCGTCTTTTCTCGGGAACGGTAAGACATTAGGTTGGTTTCCTTTCAACCAGATGTTTGAAATAGGCTAAGTAAACAATCCAAAATATAACTTTTTTCGTGATTTCAGGACCTAGTGCCCCTTTAAGCTTTTATTTTAGTACAAGAATCATTCAAATCACTCACGTAATATACAAGTTTAACAGATCTTTAAACACAACCACTGTTTTAAAGTTCTGTCCAGTCCACGGATCACCAGAAGGTATCGGTACATGTGTTCTTTCAGCAAAACAAAAACAAATCACATTGGGATGTGTGTGAATTGTTTTCGTTTTGCTGAAAGAACGCACACCTTTTTTTGTGATCAGTAGACTGACAGAGTACCCCCCTCCAAAAAAAAATAATAAATTGAAAATGTCTCAAAAAGATAACATTTATAAACTTCTAGAGGATGGCGCCCAATTGATTGTTACATACCCCGATGGTGAACTAGTCAACTGCGGTCACATCGGTGTCATAGTGTATTTTTACTGCAATGAAAACACCGTATGGGAGGTACCAACAACAGGGGGACCAGGTGAAATCCAGGGGAATCCCCACGTCGTGCTTGACAGTAGTAACACTTCCTGCTTGGTAAGTTGGACTCTGGCTTAATAACACTTTAATCGTGAAGATCATGGGAATTTTGAATCATGTAATAATAATAATAATAATTACCCTGGATACGACATTTGGGAGACATCCCCATAGACTTGTGCACAAAATTTTTCAAACTCAAATGTGCCCTAACCCAATATTCCCTTGTCTTTTTTCCACAAATTTTGGTATGTTTGCTAATTAGACCACGAGCAACAAATACATGTATAACGTAATTGCGACAGCAAAATTTTGCCTCTAAAGGGGGACTGTGGCATTAGGGAGACATTAAAATGTCTCCCTAATGACCGATGTCTCCCATCGAGTGAAGAAATTACGATAATATGTCTCCTTAATGGTACCAAGAACTTTAAGGAATACGTTGACAAAGTATTTAAGTGAGATTTGTAGGCGATCACGAATGCGTGGCCAACTCGGTGCATTTTTACATGTCACTGAATGTTTACATGGAGGAGGCCCTCAAATGACGCGGTGGAAACACGGAGTGACATGTAAAGATTCACTAAGTTGTCCACATATTTCCCTACAAATCTCTCTTGAAGACTTTGTCAACACATTCCTTACAGTTCTCACATGAAAGTATATTCTCTGAGGTACAAGATAAGCAAACAGAAATGTCTGTTTTTTCTGTTTCGAAAGTAGCGTCAGGTTGCGACGTTTTTTTCCCAAAATGATAGTGAGGCCAGTTACCAGACCTGTTAAAATTGTAACCTGATAAATTTGGACCCATAGGGTTACTTACTACAGATTGTCATGGAGAGACGGAGGGTTTAAGTCATGTTTTATTATTTGCTGTATTTATTTACAAATACTGTATTCTGCATACAGTTGTAGTTTCTTATGCTATTTCATGTGTCTGTTTACCATATTCATACTGCTGTTTCATGTCTAGTTGATTAATTTTTAGTTCCTTTATTTTGATCTTACAGTACTACATTGTTTCTGTGTATGTAGTTTCTAATGCTATTTCATGTGTCTGTTTACCATGTACATCTGCTGTTTCATGTCTAGTTGATTGATTTTTTTATTCCTTTATTTTGATTTTACAGTACTCCATCGTTGCTGAGTACGCTGGTGCCTGCGAACGTCAGACCTCAAGCCTAAGTGCCGGAACCATAATAATAATCATGTAAGACTGAATTAACATCCGTGGAAGTCTCAAAATCGTACAGAAAATAATTGTTTGTCCTTACATCCACACAGAGCCCTGCGGTAAATATTTGAAGTACCATAATATACATGTACCATAAAAACTACTCGTTTTGTTTTTTGAAAGATAACCCCGGCCCACGTAAAAACAACAGTTGGTCAGCATCCCTGCAACCAACAAATCCACCCGCCCCTAATTTTAGTTTTGTTGTGATTTTTGTATTTTAAAAATTAAAGTTAAAATTGCGCTTAAGCAGAGAGGCGGTCAGGAAACCGCGAGCAGACGCGATTATTTACTTGTATCCACCGTTCTTAATAATAATAATTGTGCTTATATAGCGCTTTCCATGGTATCAACGATCTAAAAGTGCTTTACAGTTATTACCCCGTTCATCAGGCCGTGGGACCACGCGGCAGCCGATATCAGCGCTCAATCGGTCCTCGACCCTCACAGGTACCCATTTATACTCCTGGGTGGAGAGAGGCAATTGTAGTTAAGTGTCTTGCCCAAGGGCACAAACACCATGCTCCTGGCAGGGTTCAAACCCACGCACCTTCGTACATGAGTCAACGCCGTAACCACTGGTTTCCGCCTGGTCCCTTCATGATCGGTACAGTTAGAATGTTTGTGGGTGGGAACCAGTTCATGCATACCCTAGTTCCTGACTCTCCAATGTTGTTCGAAATGCACTTACGTACAAAAACAGGGACCAGTCTATACGTTATCATTATCGATATAGCGCATGGTAACAAAATTGCGCGCGATTTTGATAGACTGTCTCCGGGGTCATTTTCTATTTTTTCTTCGGGATCACATTAGTGCGCGCTTAGCCTTTAGTCAAGTCCCACACGCCTATACCCGAACCATCCGGACACGTAAGGCACCCCGGATGCTGGCACGTAAAAAGACTAGCACGAGCGGTGAAGTTGCCAGGGCCTTTACTATCTCGTGGAACTAATCACTTATTCATTTATTCATGTAATATAAATCAAGCAATATAAACCAATCATCTAACGGTGGTTTGCGGTTACCAGCAACAGCACCCGCGCCATGGCGCGTGCGACTTGACTAAAGGCTAGTGCGCGCTGGGCACGATCACATTGACCTCACTGCCTTGCCATTCAAACAAATCGGGAGTTCAACTTGTCCACGCACGCAAGGGAAGCCCTTGGAAAAGAAAGGGAACTTTTACTTTTTACCCGAACCACACGTTCCCCTATTAAGTACTGTCATCTTAATTCACGATCTTTACTGGATCTGGAGGTGTGGTTTTTGGTAAGTTGGGGCAAATTTCAGCCATTTTGCGGGTTTATCAGTGGTAATTTTATCGGAAAATGTTGATTCTCTTGAATTCCCAATAGTAAAAAAAACCCAAATAAACTCTCGACCGACCCAGAAATTTGAGATCAAAAGGATGCTACTCAAGTAATTTTATTTTAATGCGGCCTGATTTTGACCTTTTTTTCTCCAACATTTCACAGTTTCCCTCACCCACCCCCATCCCCTGACTCCCCCCCCCCCCCCGACACTCCTAGCACAACCTGACCCTCCCACCCCCTACCCCATTCCCCCGACACTGACCCTCACACCCCCGAACTTGTCACTGAAATGGTGCCGGCATTCGTATTAAAAGTTGAGTATTTTTTGTTTATATTTTTCAGATTTTTCTGTCTTCTTGCTGTCTACCTCATTGGCGGAGTGATATTTAACAAGTTTTCCGGCACCAGTGGTAAGGAGCTTATTCCCAACTATGACACATGGAACCGGTTACCCGAGGACGTTATGGTGAGTTATAGTAATCAAAATAATGTGGTGCGTATGTATAGTGCTTTATACCAAAGGTCTCAAAGCGCTTCACAATTATTACCCCTGTTCATCAGGCCATGAGACCAGTTTTTGCAGCAGTTCAAGATCGGCGCATTCTGGTCTCTACCCTCACAGGTACCCATTTATACTCCTGGATGGAGAGAGGCAATTGTAGTAAAGTGCCTTGCCTAAGAACACAAGCACCATGTTCCCCGTCAGGGTTTGAACCCACGTACCACGGCACGCGAGTTGAACACCGTAACCATTGGACCATAGCACCCCACTCAATATAGAAGTACTAGAAAGCTTCTGCATTAAAACCCGAGCGATTTTTTTCCGTCTTTCACTCGGGAGGTACATGTAACACACTGAGTATACAGTGTTTATACGTCATTGAAGGGCAAAAGCTCAGTGGTCGTGTGGTAAAGACGTCTGCACTAGAAAGCAGATCTTTACCATAGAGCTATATTAAATTACTAGAGCGCTAACTCCTCATTCTTGTGCGCGGAGACGCTTTGAAGCCGTCCCGGGCGCAGACATTTTGAATTCATGTGCGTGTTTGTAGAACATAGTGAAGTTAGATGGATTGAATTTTGATAGTGTACTCTACATGCAACATGCAAGTAGAACATACGAAAACAACTTAAGCGCATCATGACGGTTCAAAAAAAGTCACGGCGAAAAGCATCTGCAGCGAATACGCGCACGCGTTGCGCTGTTTGCGTAGAGCAAAATGACACGCTCAATTGCTGATCGTGCGTTTCGGTTTTGGGCGTATTGGCTTTGATAATGCACTGGTATGGAATACAAACGCAGATATAGACCTACAAAACATGCACAATATTTCTAGTTTTCCATAGGTTTGTGTACAAACATGGATGCGCCCATCAGGCATTACTTTGTACATCGAGTTAGCGCTCTAGTAATTTAATATAGCTCTATGGTTTTTATCCATTTTGTGTACATGGGGGATAATCGATATATCGATGTTCTTAATATTGGATTATCGATATATTGATTATTGAAAATCTGATATCGACGGACCCTACATGATGTGACTGCTACTTTTCCCAAATTTTTAGATCCTAAGGGTGACTATTTTTACTTCTTTGTTTCTATTTTTGGCAGCTTGGGTGTGGCTTCTTTTTCAATTGCATCACGTGTCAGGCTGGCACACAGACGTCATCCCACGACAGTTACGACAAGATCTAGTAAGTCCAAGACGCGGCAGGTTTTCAGATCAGACGGGACTCCGGAGGGTAAAAATCACAGTCAGACATACAGACATTTTCCGACATTTGTCATTTGAGTTGCTTAGTCAAGTTTTGTTCTTCAAGTTCACTGTAGTGAAAAGCAGTTGACTTGGGCATGTGTATTTGGTTTTATCTGAACACGTGTTGTGTCTAACTTTCATCCTCTGGGATTCACAACTTGATGTTGCCCAAGTTAGGTTGCCCAACTTGGTTGCCCAGCTTAAATATCAAAATCTACGATATGAAAGCCCAATTCATAAGCTTTCTTTTAGTACAAGAATCATTCAAATCACTCATGTACTTTTCATGTTACGGAATTTTAAACACAACCCCCGTTTTAAAGTTCTGTCCACTGATTGCAAATTTTCTTTCAGTAAAACGGAGACAACTCACACAGGGATGTGTGTGAATTGTTTTTGTTTTGCTGAAAGAACACACACTTTTTTGTGATCCATGGACAGAATAGAACAGTGATTGTGTTTAAAATTCCGTAACTTGGAAAGTACATCAGTGATTTGAATGATTCTTATACTAAAAGAAAGTTTATTGAATGGGCTTTCATATCCTAGATTTTGAAAGTGCTACAGGCAGAACTTTATTAAGAAAATGGTCCTGCCATTTGGGTTTCCTTCTTTCTTACTTCCTTTTTTTTTACTGTACAGCTTAAATTAGAATCAAGACAACGTTGTTTCAGTGCATGAAGACTACTCTTTTTGCCTTGGGTCCTGCTAAAATATTGACATTCTATATGACACATTTCAGACACTGATCTCTATATAAAGACTGGATAGCTAATAAAGAGCCGCACAATGAATGAATTTGACGCCATATTGGTGAGACCGGCTGGTGATCTACAAAGGACAAGTTGCCGTTTTTATAGACAGCATGATTTCTTTTGTAACGTCGCGGTTCACTTGACTTATATTTTGACCACCACCACTGACCAAGGTTAACTACAATTTGTCTAACGTCGTGGTTACTAAAATGCTGCAAATATCACTTTTTCGGCGTTTTGGAATAATAATCACTACGGAAATGTGTCCATTTTAGAACATCATAATATGTGTACGTGACCAAAATGCGCGTCAACTGTTGATACAACGCGCGCGTATTTACCCGTAGAACGTTTGTATTATACGCGGCCATCTTCGTGAGACCGGGGCGAATTGGTCAATATGCAAAGTCTACTGTGTGAATGTTGTATGCATATCTGCTATCCAGTCTTTATATAGAGATCAGTGATTTCAGAGTTGGATTGTTTTCTCAGGAAATGCAGCAAAGTATGGTATTTAGTATGTTGGCAGGTAGCATTGAAATTACTGCCAAATTGATTATGTCTTCCACAGATGCAACAAGGCCTGCTGGCGATACAGCTTAATAATGTGTATTTATCCACCAGTATTAGTGCTCAAGGTGCTACATCATTATTACCCTGCTCATAATAAAACATTCCCAAGGCAATCTCAGCTCCCTGGAGAGTATTAAACTCCGATGCTGCCATTTTGACACACAGCAGCTAAAATCAATCACAGTAACCAATCTTTGCCCTCACAGGTGCCCATTTACTCCTGGGTGGGGAGAAGCAATGAGTGACAAAGTGCCTTGCCCAAGGGCACACGCACCATGACCCCAGGCTGGACTCAAACCCACAACCTGCAGAATTACTCGCAGACCACACATTTGCTGCTCCAGACCATGAGGCCACAGCACTTCACATGTTGATGGCAATCCACGCATCTCGTTCAGAAGTTTGAAAAATAACCTCTTATAATGCCATAACTGAAACCCAGATCAGCTTCATTGTGTCTACTTGACCTAGTGTGGCCTAGTGGGAGTGTGGCCTACATGTAGTGGTTAGGATTCATGACTCGTGATCAGAGGGTCAGGGGGTTGAAGCCAGCTGCTGGCCATCCTTGGGCAAGCCACTTGCTTCTCTCCGAGTCCACCCAGGAAAAGGGTATCAGCATTAGCTGGGATTAACTTGCGGTGGACTAGCATCCCATCCAGGAGGAATATAAATATTCTCAGCCTGCTGGCCATATGTTGTTTCCTTGGGCAAGCCACTTTACCCCACTTGCCTCTCTCCACCCAGGAGTATAAATGGGTACAGGCATTAGCTGGGGAGTAACCTGCGATGGACTGGCATCCCATCCAGGGGGAGTAGAAATATTCTCAGTTTGCTGGCCATATGTTGTGTCCTTGGGCAAGCTACTTTATCCCCACTTGCCTTTCTCCACCCAGGAGTACAAATGGGTACAGGCATTAGCTGGGAGAAACCTGCAATGGCCTAGCATCCCATCCAGGGGGATAGAAATATCCTCGGTCGTTTCATGCCTAGGAAAACTGGAGATAAACGTCAACCTAATGAGCTATATTAGCTCGGACAGACTCAACTTACGCAGTGAAACTAGGAAATAAGACAATAGTTTCTGTGCCTTTTAATGAAATACTGCCCAAGACACAGTAAACAAGGAATCGCTGCTTTGAGTTTGAGAAAACAAAAATTGGTTTGACTTTTATTTCTATTCATAAATACCTTAAAGACAGTTTTCCCATTGGTCCAGAGCCCGTTACGTGGCCGGTCTTAAAGGGATGATAAAGACATGGCTGGCTGGTCTTAAACACTTTTCCAGTGTCACATGAAATTTTGACTCCTATGAAAATATGAAATCCAGTGCCTTTTACCGTTTCATTGGTTGAACGTTCACAATCCTCACGTAGGCATGTGCAATACTACTAGTGAGTCAGCATTTCACAGCCCTAAATTCACAACGCACTCTGAGTGCATTGCCTCACCACAGCCGCATCTGCGCGTCATCGCGCAGTACCCGCGACGCGCGCCAATCTCCATAAAAGGAGTTGTTTACGTCTTACTCGAGAGCTGGACACTTAATTATATAGCTATAGGGGTGTTTCGAAAAACAGAAAGTAGAAATGTTGAACAAAATCATTGGAAATTCTTAATTTTTGACTTGTTTTGACTTTTGGACCAAAAAGTGGAAAGAAAAATTGTTGAACAAAATTGTTGGAAATTGGACCGAAAAGTTGTGATTTTTTTATCGAAAAGGTATTTATGAATGGGAATAAATATGTGCTTGGTCGGTATTAAACACTATGTTTAACACCTATCAAGCACACATTTATTCCCTTATTTCGACATGGATTTGCTTAACTGCGTACCTGCAGGACCCAACAAATCTTAAGAGGAAAGCAACTATAATCCTAAAAATGCCATCTTTGTGTCGTCATGCCTCCATAATGTTAAAACCCAGCTGAGATTTTTGTTCAGGCTGTTGATGAGATTTTGGACAAAATGCTGAAGAATTCTTGTGTCCCGTCTTCTTGATAACAGTCATCACTTGAAACCAACTTGCGTAATATTTCTAAACCAGTGTTGGTATTAGTTTGAATGTTATGTCAACACGGATGCTTTTCTGATTCGTGACCTGACGTCTTTTTCTTTGTCCAATCTTTTTCTCTGGAGAAGCTTTCCCTTCTGTTCGTCATTTTAGACTTCATTGTGCTATAATTCTGCAAATAGATGCTGTCTTTTTGAGCAACTTGGTATCCATGGTTACCTGAAAATGATGAATATTCAGAGAAGAAAAACAAAGGAATGCTCCCCGTTTTCATCTACAGTAAAACTGTCCACAGCTTTTTTAACTTTTGCGAAATGTTCTCTTTTGAACATGTCTGCGAAAGAGTACTTCGTTTCTGGTAAATGAAACTTCTGGAATTTCTATGTATAAGCCACCAAGTCGCCACATGTCGGCCATGACCGACTTCTTTATTTCACTTGTGGAGAAAACGGTGAAGAACATGCCGAATTATGCCGGCCTAAATGTTTGATAAGATACATTGTGTTTCTTTACTGAAAACTGCTGTAAGTAGCATAATGTCATACAATTATATTGGGTATACCACGGTGATAGATAATTTATTGGTCCATCATTGATCACGTGTCATGCCACAAAAACGCATACTACATGTATTAGTGTTAGATGAACTGAACGTCCTACTGCCCATGGTTAGACACATCTTGTTTCCTTACTGCGACATGAGTAACGTACTGTCATACAATTATATCAGTTATCGTTAGGAGACAACTTTTGTTTTTGAAAATATGAAACACGTACGTGCCCCGGTGCATAATATGTGAAAGCTAGAAAATTAACCATAGTGTTAAATGAACTAAATGCCCTACTGCCCATGGTTTATTATAGACACATTTTGTTTCCTTACTGCGATATTAGTAACATACTATCATACAATTATATCAGTTATCGTTTAGGGAACAACTTTTGTTTTTGAAAACATGAAACACGTAGGTGCCCTGGTACATAATATGTGAAAGCTAGACAATTAATCCTACTGTTATTGTGTTATAGGGACAACATTGTTAATGTTTTCCTGAAAAAACTTACAGGTTGCAGAAATTTTTTTTCCCAGAAAACATGAAACACGTAGGTTACATAACACATGAAAGCTAGGAAATTAATCCTACTATTATTGTAGTGTTAAATGAACTAAACGCCCTACTGCCCATGGTTAGACACACCTTGTTTCCTTACTGCGAAATGAGTAACGTACTGTCATACAATTATATCAGTTATCGGTACATAATATGTGAAAGCTAGGAAATTAATCATACTATTATTGTAGTGTTAGATAATCTAAACGTCCTACTGGCCATGGTTAGACACACCTTGTTTCCTTACTGCAATATTAGTAACGTTCTATCGTTAGGGGACAACTTTTGTTTTTGAAAAAATGAAACACGTTGGGGCGCAGTTGCATAATATGTAAAAGATAGAAAATGAATCATACTATTATTGTGTTGTAAGATGAACTAAACGTCCTACTGCCCATCGTGAGATCCATCTTGTTTCCATACTGCGAAATGAGTAACGTGCTGTCAAACAATTACATCAGTTATCGTTAAAGGTAATATACAACATTTGCAAACATCAAGAAATAAAACTACCCAATTATTTTGAAAGACCAGTACTTTGCTTGACTGTAAGTGAATAATAGTCTCAAGCATCCTGTGAAATCATGGCACCTGGTGTGCTGTCATTTTCAAGAAAATTTGAATTTTTATATGGATTTCCAACAATGGTGGGCGACCATCTTTGGAAAAAAACTGACTTTTTTTTCAAATATTGCCCCCAATTTTGCCAAATTAAGTTATTCCACATTTTGTCTGGTTCCCTAACATGACGATCCCCGTTGTCTGTAAATTGGTCTGTATTATCCGAAGTAGGGTGAGGGAACTAGAATACACGAACAACATTTATTCTCGTTTTTTTTCTTCAGCATCTATGAACACTAAACTTTAAACAGGTCAGTGTCAATATTTGCTATAATATACATGTACTAACTCCCAAATCCATCCGATTCTAAAAAATTACCATGATAATAGCATCAGCAAATGTTGTGTATTACTTCTAATGGAAAACTTTGTCGACATTTTTCCTGAAAGGAACGTACAGCTTGCCGCTATATTTGTTCCCAGAAAACATGAAACACGTAGCCCCCACTTACTCGTGAATGTTCAGATCTGGGCCCAATTTCATGGAACCCGTAACGGTTAGCGAGAAATCGCCGCTAACTATAGCGGAAAATTCCGCGCTAACGGTTAGTGTATTTCACGGGTTAGCAAGGAATTTTGGCTTGTGCGCATGCGTACTTCCCGTAACTAAGGATTCTGTGCTTACAAGGTTAGCGCAGAATTTTTGTGCTAGCTCGGTTAGCACAAAATTGCGGGCTGTTAGCACAAAATTCGGCGTTACGGATTCCATGAAATTGGGCCCGGGAGTCTGAAGATAGCTTCTTAAATCCTTGAAACGTTAATTAAATGATATCTCTAAAGAATTAATATCAGTTGAGGTGCAGATACATGGACTGATAAACTATTCACAGTTCGGATATCTTTATGTGTTGGACTTGTTTTGTTTACTTGGTGTAAGGGAAGAATTCCTAAGCTGAATATAGCTTAGTGATCTATGCATTGATATAAAACTATACAACCTTCTCACTGTCAAGTTCTGCTTCCGATTACATGGTGTTTGAAAATAGAGTAGGTAGGGGTTTTTTTGGCTAATTTTTTGTGTGTACGATCATATGGAGACGTCTGCGTGTTGTTAAGAGTAAAATGTAGGACTTGATGGTTTTGGGTGTTTTCCCTCATTTTTCCAATAAAAGAAATAGGGTAATGGCTGTCAGAATAGGGTAGGTAGGGAAACCGGAAACCCGCCTTATTAAGGCCTTATCGATAGAGACAACGTTGTTAATGTTTTCCTGAAAAAACTTACAGGTTGCAGAAAAAAAAATTTCCCAGAAAACGTGAAACACATAGGTGCCCCGGTACATAATATGTGAAAGCTAGAAAATTAATCATACTATTATTGTAGTGTACACAAGATGAACTAAACGTACTACTGCCCATTGTGAGATATATCTTGTTTCCATACTGCGAAATGAGGAACGTTCTGTCATACAATTATATCAGTTATCGTTAGGGGACAACTTTTGTTTTTGAAAAAATGAAACATGTAGGGGCCCAGGTGCATAATATGTAAAAGATAGAAAATTAATCATACATTTATTGTATTGTAAGATGAACTAAACGCCCTACTGCCCATGGTGAGATACATCTTGTTGCCATACTGCGAAATGAGTAACATACTGTCATACAATTATATCAGTTATCGTTAAAGGTAATATACAACATTTGCAAACATCAAAACTACCCAATTATTTTGAAAAACCAGTTCTTTACTTGACTGTAAGTGAATAATAGTCTCAAGCATCCTGTGAAATCATAGCACCTGATGTGCTGTCATTTTCAAGAAAATTTGAATTTTTGTATCGATTTCCAACAATGGTGGCCTGACCATCTTTGGAAAAAAACTGACTTTTTTTCAAATACATGTATTGCCCCCAATTTTGCCAAAGTAAGTTATTCCACATTTTGTCTGGTTCCCTAACATGACGATCCCGATGTCTCTAAATCGGTCTGTATTGTCCGAAGTAGGGTCAGGGAACTAAAATACAAGAACAGCATTTATTCTCGTGTTTTTTTCTTTAGCATCTATGAACACTAAACTTTAAACAGGTCAATGTACATGTACTAACTCCCAAATCCATCCGTGCCTAAAAATTACAATGATTACAGCAAAAGCAAATATTGTGTATTACTTCTAATGGGAAAACTTTGTCGACATTTTTCCTGAAAGGAACGTACAGGTTGCCGCTATATAAGTTCCCAGAAAACATGAAACACGTAGGTGCCCGGTACATAACATATGAAAACTAGAAAATTGACAACTTTCCATGTTTAGATACACCGTGTTTCGTTACTGCGAAATGAGTGGCATAATGTCATACAAGTATATCGGTTATCGTTAAGGGACAACTTTTGTCAATGTTTTTCTGAAATGAACATACAGGTTGCTGCTTTAATTATTCCAAGAAAACGTGAAACACGTAGGTGCCCCGGTTCATAACATATGAAAGCTAGAAAATTGACTACTGTCCATGGTAAGATACACTGTGTTTCCTTACTACAAAATGAGTAGCGTAATGTCATCCAAGTATAGCAATCATCGTTAGGGACAGGCTGCCCGCTGCCAGTTATGGTACACAATCCCAACTTGGAGCACGTAGGTCCCCGGCATATTTCAGATTAAATGTTTTTCTTCTAGCTCAAAGCAACGCACAGGCCGCCTCTGAACGTAGCTACCTCTACATTTTATTCCCAGAAAACATGAAACATGTAGCGCCCACTTACTCATGAACGTTTAGATCTGGAGTCTGAAGATTAAATCCTTGAAAGGTTAAATGATATCTCTAAAGAATTAATATCAGTTGAGGTGCAGATACATGGACTGATAAACTATTCACAGTTCGGATATCTTTATGTGTTGACTTGTTGTGTTTACTTGGTGTACGGGAAGAATTCCTAAGCTGAATGTAGCTTAGTGATCTATGCATTGATAAACTATACAACCTTCCATTGTCAAGTTTTCCTGAACACTTGTTTTTGGGGGTTTCCCCCCCCCAATTTTGAGAAAGATTCAAAGAATTTGGTGATACAAAGTAGCTGGATTAACTGAATACTTAAAAACTTTGATAGGACATTTCCCTAGTTACTAGACATTGCTGTCAATTGTTTTTTTTATTTGTCGTAAAAAGAAGTTCCCACTGCATGATGTGTAGTGATAATACATGTAGTTATTTGAGCGTTATTGAATCGAGCCTGTTGTTTAAAAAGAGTAAAAAGTTTGTGCAAAACTTAGCAACTCTGAATTCATTATGAGATTGGGTGAATGTATATGTATTGATGAACAGAATTTGATTAATGTACACTTTCTGTGACACCTCACAAGGCAGATTTCTCAAGTAAAACCCAGTTTCAACTAGGGCTGTCATTATAAGACATTTATTAATTGGGGAGGTGGGCAAAATAATGTAGTCATCTCCCCCCCCCCCCCCATGGCTAACCCAATTAGTTTAGGCATGCACTTTTGCGAAGTCGCACATGTAAACAAAGCATGAGGTCATTGTGTTTTATGTCTATTCATGAATGGTAATCCCATTTTGCAAATTAAAAGCAATAGCTTCTCACTACATTTTTTATTTTCATTCTCGCATGCATTAAAATGACTCACAAAGCAGATTTCTGAGTTTAAGGACATCATACAGGTATTTAGACAGTACAGTACAGCTTTACTGTATTATCTGTGAACTAAAATGGCCTTGATGGGTCTATTGTAAAAAGAGGCGCCTCTTCATTGATCTTAGGGTATTTCTGTTGTATTCATCGATAGCTTTGACGCACTGCTGCCAGATATGTTCCCTATCTTCCTCAGAAACCGGAAGCCAACGTCCATACGGCATCCTTGATGGCTGCAATCCTGGCCTTGTCCAGTTGCTGTTTCCCCTTTGCCCCTCTGCAGTTGGCGTTTATTCTCTCCTCATCAAGAAAAATCATGGCTGCAAGCTTCTTTGCAATGGCCCTGTAATTCGGCAACATTGCTGAGACCTTGTCTAAAACTTCTGGCTTCAGAGACAGTTTTACAGTTCCATCCTGGTCATTCTCTTGATCCAGATAACTGTTTATGGTTTCCATGTCCTGTGATTTAGTGAGGACTGAGGTGCTAACTACAAGCACTTTGTTTATTTTCTTTTCAAGTTCACCTATTCTTTGAAACAACTTGTCTCTGCACATTGAGCATGTGTTTGTCAGCGAGCACATGCAGGTTTCAACCATATTTTGTCGCTGAATGGGCCGTGGTGTGAGGACAGTTGGGGGTGTAGGTGTTGAAGAAGTGTAGCGTGGCGGTGACTGAGACCTCGGTGGTAGTGATCTCGGTGGTGCCTGCGTATAGAGGGATTGCTGAGGTTGGAGCCATGCTAACGACCTTGGTTGGGGTGGTGCAGATGTCCTCACAGGGGGCCCGGCAGGCAAAAGCTGGAAGGCGGTGAAATAGATCAGGGTGGCAGTGATTGAGATGGTGGTGCTTGCGTAAAGAGGGGGTGCAGGGATGGTCTCGACCTTGGTTGGGGTTGTGGTGGTACTGACGTCCTTATGGGGGGCCGGAAAAAACATAGATGGCAGTGAAGTTGATCGGGGTGGCTGTGATTGCGGTGGTGGTGCTTCCGTAAAGAGGGGGTGCAGAGATGGTATCGACCTTGGTTGGGGTGGTGGTACAGACGTCCTTATGGGGGGCCAGGAAAACATCGATGGTGGTGAAGTTGATCTGGGTGGCTGTGATTGCGGTGGTGTTGCTTCCGTAAAGAGGGGGTGCGGAGATGGTCTCGACCTTGGTTGGGGTGGTGGTGGTACTGACGTCCTTCGCTCATTAAAAAAAACATTGGCCTACAATATTTTGTGTAAATGGCATAATGTCATACAAGTATATCAGTTATCGTTGAAGGACAACTTTTTTCAATGTTTTTTCTGAAATGAACATACAGGTTGCTGCTTTAATTATTCCAAGAAAATGTGAAACACGTAGGTGCCCCGGTTCATAACATATGAAAGCTAGAAAATTGACTACTGTCCATGATAAGATACACTGTGTTTCCTTACTACAAAATGAGTAGCATAATGTCATACAGGTATAGCAATCATCGTTAGCGACAGGCTGCCCACTGCCAGTTATGGTACACAATCCCAACTTGGAACACGTAGGTCCCCGGCATATTTCAGATTAAATATCTTTATCTGTTATCGGATATCTTTATGTGTTGGACTTGTTTTGATTACCTGGTGTAAGGGAAGAATTCCTAAGCTGAATGTAGCTTAGTGATCTGTGCATTGATAAACTATACAACCTTTCATTGTCAAGTTCTGCTTCCGATTACATGGTGTTTGAAAATAGGGTAGGTATGGGTTTTTTGGGGCTAATTTTTTTTGTATACGATCATTTGGAGACGTCTGCGTGTTGTTAAGAGTAAAATGTAGAAACTGATGGTTTTGGGTGTTTTCCCTCATTTTTCCAATAAAAAAAAATTAGGGTAGGGGCTGTCAGAATAGGGTAGGTAGGCAAACCGGAAACGGAACTTTTTTTGATTAGGCCTTATCGATAGGGACAACGTTGTTAATGTTTTCCTGAAATAAACTTACAGGTTGCAGAATTTTTTTCCCCCCAGAAAACATGAAACACGTAGGTGCCCCGGTACATAACATATGAAAGCTAGGAAATTAATCATACTATTATTGTGTTGTATTAGATGAACTAAACGTCCCACTGCCCATTGTGAGATATATCTTGTTTCCATACTGCGAAATGAGTAACATACTGTCATACAATTATATCAGTTATCGTTATCGTTAGGAGACAAGTTTTGTTTTCGAAAACATGAGACACGTAGGTTGCCCGGTACATAACACATGAGAGCTAGAAAATTAATCATACTATTATTGTAGTGTTAAATGAACTAAACGTCCTACTGCCCATGGTGAGATACATCTGGTTTCCATACTGCGAAATGAGTAATGAACTGTCATACAATTATATCAGTTATCATTAGGAGACAAATTTTGTTTTTGAAAACATGAAACACGTAGTCGCCCCGGTACATAATATGTGAAAGCTAGAAAATTAATCATCTGGTGTTAAATGAACTAAACGCCCTACTGCCCATGGTTAGACACATTTCGTTTCCTTACTGCGACATGAGTAACGTACTGTCATACAATATCAGTTGTCGTTAGGGGACAACTTTTGTTTTGGAAAACATGAAACACGTAGGTGCCCCGGTACATAATATGTGAAAGCTAGAAATTTAATCATACTATTATTGTAGTGTTAGATGAACTAAACACCCTACTGGCCATGGTTAGACACACCTTGTTTCCTTACTGCGAAATGAGTAACGTACTGTCATACAATTATATCAGTTGTCGTTTGGAGACAACTTTTGTTTTTGAAAACATGAAACACGTAGGTTGCCCGGTACATAACACATGAGAGCTAGAAAATTAATCCTACTATTATTGTAGTGTTAAATGAACTAAACGCCCTACTGCCCATGGTGAGATACATCTGGTTTCCATACTGCGAAATGAGTAATGAACTGTCATACAATGATATCAGTTATCGTTAGGAGACAAATTTTGTTTTTGAAAACATGAAACACGTAGTCGCCCCGGTACATAATATGTGAAAGCTAGAAAATTAATCATCTGGTGTTAAATGAACTAAACGCCCTACTGCCCATGGTTAGACACATTTTG